TTATATATTTTATCTTATTTTGTAACACCAATATACCAATTTTCTTCAACCTACCTGATTCCTGATTTCAATCCAGAGGGCCATTGGTGGATAGAGGATCCAGACCTCCCTATGAGGAAGGCAACTTTAAGGCGCTATACTGCTTGGAGTCTGTGAGTTCCACATTAAGTGGGGTCACTGTTTTCATTAGTTTACAGTGTTGCTAGATATCTAGATATCCAGCTGTATCCCATTTTTCTGTATTTTACCAGGAGAACTTGGCCTTGGTGCTATAATGCAAGTATACTCTCCTCCCCCCCTCCCCCCCCCAACCTTCCAGTTTTGAGGGATATGACCATGTCAATAAGGGTTTTATGTTGGAGTGACCTTTTAAGCAAAATACCCTAAGGTATAAAGGGCTTATTCTTATTTAAAAGTGTCTGCATTCAACTATGAATTTGTGCCCACGGGCGTCAACAGAAGGGCACTCCCATCAGGTGTGTCAGACACTGAGATTGAGGTACACAACAAACACTTGGGAGATTGTTTTATATCAGTTTGGGTTAAAGCACAATGATTTCTGAATATTATGCTGTTGTTATTAACATTATCATTAAAAAAATTATGGATTTATTTTAAAAGCACAGAAATATTATAAAGCAACATACAAAGGACAAACAAGACATTTAGGCTACAATAGGTATAGACAAACAAAAAAAAGAGCTGAGGAGGACCCTGTTCAAATGTGCCATGTAAGAACTTACTGATAATGTTTACAGGTGTCTATGGAAGCACCTTGTTACTTTATTCACAAAACAGCAATATATTCTAGGTCCCCATACAGTATTCAGGCACACTATAAGTAAGGTTACTATTTGTTCTGGTAAAATTGTTACTGAATGCAGTATAAACATTTTACTTACGGGAAATTAGTGGGATTATTTACTAAGAGGGTATCTCATATTTTACAAGGTGTAATTTACCCTAAGTATTCACAGGCAGGGCCGGACTGGAAACACAAACCAGCCCTGGAATAAATATTATTCCAGCCCTATCATACATCGTGTCACAAAGTGTGTGTGTGTGTATATATGTCATGACAGGTTAACTTTAGCATATAGCTCCAAAGGCACTAAATATGATTTATCGTAGTGATAAATCATATATTGATGTGATTTGATGTGATGTCTGAGCTGTCATAGTGTTACTTACCTGCAGCCTCTCACTTGAGATGGCCACCTAATCTCTGTTGTGATTGGCCCTGCTTGGGGACATTTCCCTTAGCAGGGCAATCCTCAATGTTCATGCCTTTATCAGCATATTGGCATCAGTGCGGCAGATGTATATATTAAAAAGATTGTTCCACATGAATAAATCACACACCGACAAGCTCACTGGCACACACGGAGACGTACTGCAGACAAGCTCTCTGAAACACACAAAGTGACTACAGACAAACTCAATGGTATACACACAAGTTGACTATATACAAGCCCACTGACAAACACAGAAGCTCCTGACACACACAAGCTCACTACAGACAAGCTAACTGATACACAAGCTCACTGACACACACAAGCTCACTGACACACGCAAGCTCACTGACACACGCAAGCTCACTGACACACGCAAGCTCACTATATACATATATCATACATATATCACCCCTCCCTGCTCTTCCTTTTGCTGACATACTGGCTGCTGGCAGCCTCAATGCGGCCACCTAGTTGGCTGCACCATCCCCCCCATAATCTGACGAAGGAATGTTGGGTATAAATAAATATAACAAAATGGTTTATGTAATCTGTTGCACTACTCTGCCTAAGGTGCCGAGCCCTACTGGGAACTTTCCCAGTAGCCTGGTGGACCATTCTGGCCCTGTTCACAGAGATGACTTAGTTTTGTAGACTTACGTACAGCAAAAAAGATTGGTTAGTCTCCCCAAATCTTTTTGCCCATGTGCTATTTTTGTTCAGTTACATTACAGCCATGCTATAGTTTTGGAAAAAACTATTCGGATGAACCAAAAATGCGACTATGTAGGCTTATAGTGAGCAGCCAATGGCAGCTCACTGTAATGAAATGAGGCAGCTGGGCAGCTATTGGTGCTCAGTCACTAGCAAAATACTAGGTGGAACCTGAAACTGGTCCCGTCCATGCCCACATCTGTTGGCATCATGTGTGTCTGTTAGCGTATGTCTAGAGTGAGCATGTGTGTCATGTATTATATTAATGCTACGGAACTTTGAATCACAAAACATGCAAAATATCTCACTTCCCTTGCCCATTTTGTTTGTATAGTGATAGACTCCTCTGGCTTTTTAAAAGTTGCGACATTTGGACATATTGCTGATCGCACAAAATTTACAGATTTGAAAGCTAATGCACAATTCAATTTTTTTTACAAAGAAAGCTTTGCAACACATCATGGTTATGTCAAACCATATCTTATATCTTTCCATAACAACTTCTATATCTGTTTTATTACTGAGTTATATCCTGTTTGATGAAACACCCTCATAGTTTGATCCAGAGCTTCTGGTATCCAAGTTCATCTGTTTCCAGCTATACTAGGACACGTACACGATATAAAATATAATCCAAATCATGGACGTAAGTTGACTCAAAATAGACTGTGACTACTTTAAATCCATTGCACATACATACACTGATCAGTCACAACATTAAAATTATTGACAGGTGAAGTGAATAACACTGATTATATACCTGTCAAGGGGTGGGATATATTAGGCAGGAAGTGAACAGTCAGTTCTTGAATTACATGTGTTGAAAGAAGAAAAGATGGACAAGTGAAAAGATCTGAGTGACTTTGACAAGGGCTGGATGACTGGGTCAGAGCAACTCTGAAACGCCAAGTCTTGTGGGCTGTTTCTGGTACGCAGTGGCTAATCCCTGCAAAAAGTTATGTAAGGAAGGACAACAGGTGAACCCGCGTCAGAGTCATAGGAGGCCAATGCTCATTGATGCATGTGGGGAGCAAAGGCTAGTCAGTCTGATCCGATCACTCATAAGACCTACTGTAACTCAAATTTCTGAGAAACTTAATGCTGGACATGACAAAAATGTGTCAGAACACACAGTGCATCACAGTTTGCAGCATATAGGGCTGTATAGTTGCATACTGACAGACCCGTCAGAGTGTATATGATGACCCCATTCCACTGCCAAAAGTGCCTTCAACGGGGACATGACCATCAGAACTTGACCATGGATCAATTTAACAAGGTTTCCTTGCCTGATGAACCATGTTTTCTTTTAGATCAAGTGGCTGTCCCAGTGTGTTTGCATGTGCATTGTTTACCTGGCGAAGAGATGACCAGAATTCTCTATGGGAAGAATGCAGGCTGGTGGAGGCTGTATTATTCCCTAGACCAGGCATAGGCAACCTTCGGCACTCCAGATGTTTTGGACTACACCTCCCATAATGCTTTGCCAGCATTATGGGTGTAAGAGCATTATGGAGGATGCAGTCCACAACATTTGGAGTGCTGATGGTTGCCTACCCCTGCCCTAGACAATGTTCTGCTGGGAAACCTGTGGTCCAAGCATTTATGTGGAATATCTTTTGTACATACCACCAACCTAGAGATTGTTGCAGACCACGTACACCTCTTCATGGCAATAGTGGTCTCTAATGGCAGTGGCCTCTTTCAGAAGGATAATGCCCCGTGCCAGACTGCAAAAAATGTTCAGGAATGGTTTGAGGAACATGACAAAGAGTTCAAGTTGTGCCTTGATTGAGCATCTCTGCGATGTGCTGGAACTACAAATCTAATCCATTGGGGCCCCACCTCACAACTTGCAGGAGATTAGGTGTTTTTAATGTTGTGGCTGATCAGTGTATATGAAGGGTATTTAATAATTACTGTGAATTCAATGTGAACTTCATAATTTATGTGAAAATACATGAAATAGAAAAAAATATCCAAGTCAGTTCAGTTTTCAATATTTTTCTGGCCTTAAATTGTGAATTCACTTTAAATTGCTAGCAATTCTCAGTTTCGTGAATAACCCTGTTGGTCGTTTTAAAAAGGAGATCGAACTTTAAGAGATTCTATTTTAAAGGGACATTGTAGTCACCCAAACAACTTTAGTTTAATGAAGCAGTTTTTGTGTATATATCATGCTTCTGAAGTTTCACTGATCAATCCACTGCCATTTAAGAGCTAAGTCACTTTTCTGTTTGTGTCAGCCACCTCCCCTGGTTGTGACTGACACAGCCTGCATGAAAACAAACTTACTTTTAATTTTAATTTTTTTTTTTATCTCCTGCTCTGTGATTTTAGCTGTAATAACATACATGAGGCTCCTGCAGCATCTAGAAAGCTATTAACAGAACAGGAAATAAATTCTAAGTTTAACAGCATTTGCAATAAATGAAGTGTAAACATTAGATGACTCTTTACAGGAAGTGTTTAGGAAGGCTGTGTAAGTCACATGCAGGGAGTTGTGATTTAACTCCTAAATGGAAGAGAATTGGGCAGTGAGACTAGGGACATGATCTATACACCAAAACTGCTTCATTAAGCTAAAGTTGTTTCAGTGACTTTAGTGTCGCTTTAAGTTTCTACATTTTGTGTTAAAAATGTAGCCTTTACCTAACCTTTGTGGATTTATTTATATATATTAAATATGCATTTATCAGGGTGATCCTGTAATATAGTAAATAGCATATCATATTTGCACTGGGCACCAAGGATCAACTAGATAGGGAATCAATCACAACTTGCATGCATGATATAGCCACATATATCTATGATCCACAATTGATCCGTATTAAATAAATCATGTCACCTATATGTCCCATGGTATAGCAAGACTGTACTAGGGTACTCATGTAGCACTATAGAATACTCACAATATAAATGTAATCCTTTACGGATGCACTGTAACCCTGCATTACGTTCTATGCAAGGTCTGCCCAGCACTGTTCATCTCCACCACCCGCCCTCCTCCCATCCCCTTTGTCCCTCCACCTTATCGATGACGTCACCGACCGGCTTTGACAACGTTCCATTCTGCAGCCAGCAGGTGAAGCAGGAGCAGCAGCCGTACCGTCTCCATCTAATGCTAGCAGTGATACCACCGACCTACCGATTCACTTACCCCACTCACCGCTTTCCTACACAGCACTGAAGATGGGATTTGTGAGCAAGACTGGGTGGTTTGCAATTTGCTTGACATTCATTCTACAGACAGCAATGGGAGTAGTACCCCAGTGTAGGGAGGTGAGTCTTGCAAAGCCCATTATGTGTGGTCCTGTCACTAACTCGGTGTGTTTTTTCCTTTGGACTCTGCCTGGGTCATTCAGTTTATATGTATGGGTTATGAGGGGTGATTTCTCTCCAGGGACCAGTATGTGGTGTTTACACTGGCTGGCAGGGATGGGCTCTCTGTATTGAGAAAGGAAACACATATGCACCATGTACTGATTGCCTTTTCTAATCAAGACCATGGGTCATCCCTCCCACTGAGTGACTGAAAAAGCTCCAGCATTGAGAGAGTTAACTGAATGCATACTTAACCAATTGAGTGCTGGAGGGGAGATTGCTTGTCATGCAGTTGATGCAGTGTAATATATACTGTGCAGATGCAAAATAATATGCAGAGTTGACATAAAAGAAGATACTGTATGTGCCATATGTTAGCAAATGGGCCACATCTATTCGGAGAACTATGTCAATAATTGAAATCATCTTCTTTTATATTTGTTACCAGAGTAATGTACAAATATTAGACTAGGCAAACAAGTGGATACATGTTAGATCCCAGCTGTAATAAAGCAAGATGAATAATTAGTGTAAATTATCACCTAGTTCCATTAACAGTCCTACAAGTCTTGTTTTGTTGCCACTCACATTTTAAGACATGCAGGTTGTGATTGCAAATGTATCTCCCACAGTACCAGTCCATCTCCCCCTCTCTTTATCTGTCTACACATATCAGTTGTTAGAAACAGCTATGTCTCTGCTGCAAATCACACTGGCATTCTGATTTCACAGGCAGGACAAAGGAAGCTAAGCTTCCTGTTCTTATATTGAGTCAGGCTTATGGAATACATGGGAGCAATGTCATTTGGCACACTAGCACTGCTCTCCTGTAGCCATAGGCCACTAGCCATTACCTTAATGTGTCTTTTGTGAGCAGACATTCAAGGGCCCTGCTATGGGTGGAGGGTAATAGAATAACCATGATCTATTGGTTTTATTTATATTTCATTAACAAATCCCTTTCAGGAGACTCCAAATATCATGGCTTGTTGACAGTTTGGGCTGAGTGACTTTAGTAGTAAAGTGTGTCCATGCTCATTAGTAGCAGCAGACTAGCTTATGAAAAATGTTTGTTGCAAAACAAGTAGCAACTTTTAAGAATTAAACAAATATCCTATCTGTAAGACATTTTTTTTTTTTTTACAAATGCACAAAAAAAAAACCATCCAGCTTCCAATTGTAAAAACTGTTGACACAATCCACAATATTGGTTTCTGTGATAAACACTATATTATAAAGAACTGAAAAACAATATGCAAAATTTTGCCAAAAAGTACTAATTTGAACCTTATCTAACTATGCTATCATCACAGCATGGCTATTTTATCCTAAATATTGCTATTATGTTTTTTTTTTTCTATTAACTACAAGTCTTATATTTATTTTGCCCTCAGTTTCTTTTTCATTCCTAAAAGCTAGCCATATATAACATATGCTTTGTTTTGTCAACAGTGTATCTGGTGATTTCTCTTTTTTAAAAGACCACTAAAGTCACCCAGACCACTTCATCTCAATGTGGGCCCTGTGTTCCTGTCATTGTAACCCTGCAATGTAAAACACTTGGACGATGCAAGCTCATAGGAAAACATTGAATTTAATGCTTTCCTATGAGAAGCATTGGATGCATGCGTGGCACTTGCCGTGCATGTGCACCAGGTCCCCAATGCTTCTAGATGCCATGCCACCTCGATGATGTGGGATGAAAAGAGGTCAGAAGCACTGAGAGAGATGTAATTGTATTTAAAAATACCTATTTAAAAAATATATAATTTTATAGGTTAAAGGGTTGGAGCGGAATATAGCTATGGCCAGGGCCATTAAAGTGTTAGGAATACAGATTTGTATTTCTAACCCTATTGTGTTCTTTGAATTAATGTATATATTTCCATACATTTCTATGTTAGTTTCAGTTGTCAATTCTCTGTGCATATGAATTTGCAATTTACAAAAGTAGTCCATCTTTGTAAATATCTCTTTATGGCACTTTTTTTTATTGCTATACATATTTAAGGTGGCTCTGACAACTGATTAACCTCATAATGTTAAGAATGTTCATTCATTGGCTAGGATCCAAGTAAACAAAGGTAAATCAAAACTGTGAATTTTAATGAACTGATAAATGAATTACACAATTTAAGCCAAATCAGCAAAATTGGATAACACATTGTGGCCAAAATGTTGCAATTCCTTTGCAATGTAATAGTTTAGTGTATAACACTGTATATGTAATATAGTAAGGTTATAGTGTTTTTCTGATGCAGAGATGTTTGGGTTACTATTATTGTAAAAGCCATATGTCCCTAAAAGCAGGGATTCCTAGTGAAATAGGTATAAGTGGTTGGCCTTTGTTCCTATCAGAGTAGGAGACAATTGTTGTCATTTGGAGCACAGAGTAGCAATTACCCAGTACCTGAAGCCAAAACGTTTGGGTAGGGGTGGGCAAAATACATTCCAGAATATTGTGAGACAAACATGTATTCCTGACCCTATAGTGTTTAACCCCACCATTTAGGTGGCTTGCTCCCCCTCAGCCCCCCTATAAAAGTTTAAAACTCACCTTATTTCCAGCGCTGGCTCCACCCCCTTTGTGACATCATCAAAATGGCCCTCATAGGGAAAGCATTGGATTGACTTAAATCGTCACGGGGTAGGCCGAAATGCCGTTTTGGCCAATCAGGAACTCCTCATAGAGATGCATTGAATCAATGATACAGATTGGTATATATTGTTCATACACTTATATACACTGGTATATATTGTTCATACATATATTGTTCACAATACACTTTATGTAACATAATAAATACTCCTAGTAGTCTTTGATTGTCCAAATTTGGTCCTGCATATTTCCCAAAATATATCAGCCATTTGCTGACAGAGAATAGCAGAAACTAGGGTCCAACAGCAGTAGGAGAGCTAAGAGTGTACATGCCTGTTACAGCAATATGGTTAATTTTGAAGAAAGATCCCTAGGTGGGTGTTTTCACCAAACCCTTCGTTTTAGATGTGCTAGTAGTCGTGGTAATTTGTGAATGAAACATTCTTGAAGTCTACACAACTCTCAGTTTAGCAATGTTGGCTTATTCACGAAATTGTCAGTTGTAAATATTTTGCAAATGACACATTTATAGCGCAAATATAGCTGATTTGTATTAATATTACTATCATTTACTTAGTGCCAACATATTCATCAGCACTTTATAATTACAGAGTGGAGGTATATGGTGACAAGTAATTGACAGTCAAAATAATGTTGACAGATACAAGAGTTAAAGAGAACTCAACTGCTCAAATGCATTTGCAATCTTGGACACAATTTTCCAACTCTACATTTTTCCAGCTTTGCTATGAAATGCTATGAAATTAGCCCTTTCTTTGTCATTTTAATGGGTAAACCCTAATGTGTTGGAACCTGATTGTTTCCCAAGTTGCAATGGACCCCTTTATTACGTCCCTCCTAAAATCAAACAGAGCAGCTTTAAAAAAATACCACAAAATGAGAATCATCACAAATTTACATGTCCTCGGAGATCTTTATTCAATTTTCTTCATGTCAATAGCAAAGCCAAATTTGCAAAATATAAAATTAAGTAATTTTACACAAGTACAGCAAAGCTTGTCTAGTGCTCATTCAGTGGGTCGGATATATTGGGGTCACATGGGCCACACTGTGACTGTGATTGCTCCATACATTTCATTTGTTTTTCTTTGTAAACAGGAGCTTTCATTACTTCAAGAATTGCATAGATTAACATAAAGAAAGGGAATGCCTTACAGAGCTGGCTTATTTTTTTTATTTTCAGAGCCCTCAAAAACATTGCATTGCAACTGTTCCCTGGTGGATTTTAGGTTATAATTAGGTTGCAGGTGTATAGATATAACGTTGTCCTTGAGGGTGTTGGAGAGAAGCCATGGGGTTTGGGCATTTTAGGAGCACAATCTGTGCAAGCTGTGAGTGATCTTCAGTTCTTTGAAAAACAGCTGGTGGCTTTTCTAAATTGATGTCTCTTGGTTGTTTTAGGGCAAATTTCTATTAACAGATATGTAAACAGATTGCATTCCCTGCTCCACTGGCTGACCAACCAGTTAAACCTGTCCTGCTGTTCTAGGCAGGTGCATGCAAATAGAAAAAAATCTTTTTTTTTTATATGAATTTAATTTATTTTAAGTATATAATCTTCAATTTGTACTACAATATAAGGTTAGTTTGTAGTATGTAGCAGAAGTGTCTTTGTGTTTCCTGGTCTTGACATACTCGAAGCTCTTTCCTTACCTGTAATGAGTCTTGGAAGCGCCCCATACATTTTGTGTGTTCCACCATCTGCTGCATTTTTATCCGAGCTCTCTCCTTGTTATTAGTAGGTCCTGGCAACCTCTGAACAATTTCTTTAATTGGTTTGTGGAATTAACCTTTCCACCCAGTACTGAACACAAGTGGTACTTGTGGTACAGAAGACACTGTGAAAGGCTGTGGGACAGCCATGGCATTAAATCCTACATATAAGAACAGTGTTGGAGAATAAATAACCAATGTTTTTCTCACAACTCCATTTAATAATGTGAAATTTCATTTTTATTTAATAACTGATATTTCAATTTGAAGGTGAAACAAATTATAAACCTATTTTTATTTCTTATGTTTTGGAAAAAGTCATTATCACCTGTTATAAATTGCATTGGTCCTGTAGACTGCAATTGCTAAATCATTTTTGTTTAATATATTTTCCAGCAACTATATCTGTTTTATCCAAAATACATCATATATTTCTGTGGCATGTTATTTTAAGTAATAGTTTCATGTTAAATGTTAGCATGTAGAATTAATCTGTAGTGCTTCATATAGTAAAATCATGGTTGACTAGGCCTGATCATGGTAATGATTAATCACCCCTTTGGTGTTCATTCAGTCCTACTGTTTGATCATTTCTGAGATAATTGTGCTTTTACTGTTGGTTCAGTCCTATTCAGTCCTCATGAAGGGTGTGCTTCACTGTTGCTAAGCAACCAACAGCATTGGCTATTGTAGTAAATAATGTCATAGCTGATAATTAGATATACCATTAAATGCTTCAGCCAGTGACAACTGTTCTTGATATTATTGGCAAGCTATCATTTGAACATCATGGAACATCATGCAGCCAAAGGCAATGATTCAAAATCCCATTACAGACACAAGATCGTATCATTGCACACTTGTTTCAGTCTGAGGGGGTTATCTACTGAGCTTTGCCAGTCTAGTCAAATTGCCTGATATTGTGGATAATGGCTAGAAAATGATTAAATTACTGCATTGATTACAATTTTTAAACACGTTGACCTTCAATTTGCAGTATCAACTGGTGGGTAAACATACTTAAACATGGTGATCATCGCTTACTGATATTGAGAGCAGTTTTACTTCCTCATTTAACTGTGATACTTACATAATCTAAATCTGACGTTTTAAAATCATTGCAAATCTACATGATGCATTATTAATTCACCCCAAGCCAAAAGCCATCTGCTTCCCCTCTGCTGAAAGGAATGAGTCCATGTCAGCATGCAAGGTGTGTGGGTGATTTTACATATGATCTGACAAACACATGTAACTCCACAGAATATGATATTGGGACGAAATATCAAACTAGAGCAGATAAAATCCTTGAGAGAAAAAAATCACTTGTCTCGTCCCTGTAAATGAATGTAGTGAAGTATTTAGATATGGGGACCGGTGTGCTGCGTAACAGAACATGATGCTAACTGTTACAGCAGATATCATTTCAAGGTTTAATACTAATTAGGCAAAGTCTCTAGAAGAGACAATAGATGTAAGTGTCTACAGTGTGCATTTTTATAAATATGGATGGTTAATAAGAATATACACACTCACTTTCAATAATGTACCTTATTGTTCTTCATATTTCTAAGACTTGATTCATTTTTGTTATGTTAAAGATATGTGAGAAATACTCTGAATTTTGATTTTTAGAAAATTAAACCTGAAAGAGCAAAACTGAAACTAAAAAAATTGATCTGGGAAAATTCCACAAATCAGCTATAATCACAGTTTGGCTACTTTTTTTATCCTCAGTTTTGCAATTCAAATTTAATTTGCTTAACTTCGGAGTTTAGTTAATATTTGGTTTGTTAACCTACAAAAAGAGAACACCCCTGTAGTATAAAATCCAGTTTATAGCAAATCCAGGTCACCCAATTTTATACCAGATCTGGGACACATTTCTGTATAGAAATATTTCTCTATGACTGAGGAGCACAGGTCGTGTGATAAGTTCCCACACGTGATAAGTAGACACGTGTTGTTGAGTTTATCAAGGGACAGCTCCTCAATGCAAGATTCTAGGCTAATAATACAACTGCTATTTAAAGCAACACAATGGGATAGTATGGTGTGCATAGCATCTGTAACTTAACAGCAACAAGACTCAGCTAAGGAAACCTGATTGGCTGCACACTTTATATATAAGAGCTTTATAATATATATATATATATATATATATATATATACACACACACACATATATATATATATATAGCAAATTATATATATATATATATATATATAAAGCTTATACATAGCAGTATAACTCTGACACTGTTGTTTCTTTAATTACAAACTCTTAATTATCATGTATCAGTGCCGAAGACTGGCTCGGAATGATGGGAAGTGTAGTACAGCAAAATCTTGCTGTGATATGCAGCACTGTCATATTGTACATTTTGTTTCCTTTTCTATCTGTGATAAATGGCCACAATGCTCAATGAGTTGTATGCCAACCATCCTTTGCTGAAAAAAGGGTCTTATTCACAAAGTTTTTGATAAATGAATCTCTAGTTTTTCAAATTTGACTATTTTGGTCTAATATTTGTGTTTCACTTGTCAATTTTCCATGATTCCCCAGTTTAGCAAATAACCAGGTAATCTGTCCCTCAATGATTGACGAGATATAGTTTAATAGATATTGTGATAAGACTGCAATCTGCACCTTTATAAAGGCGGTTATTTACACATTATGTTGTGTGTCTAATGTTATGATGCTTCAAATGCAGTAGAGGTGAGCAGAGCTGTACAGCTAAAATGGTTAGGCCAATTAACTTGAAATACCACACAGAAGAACTAAGGAGGCATTATAGATTATGTGAACATTCTAAGGTTACAGAAGCTTCCAGTGTTACAGATCTGAATGAGGCTTTAGTAGTGTTGAAATATTAGTGAGACAAGGAAACTGATAAGCCAGTAACTAATTACTGATAAATCACTCACCATACGTCTGTGTTTCTCTATCACCAACCAAGTTTGATTCTCGCACCTGGAACGCTTTAAACATGGCAAGATCTGCTCTTAAAACTTAGTTTTCTAAGTATTTTATGGATCTCCAAGTATGTCATTGATCTGGCAAACAAGGCTTGTATACTGTGTATGTGTATTATGGAATAAAAGTGAAGCATTATGTTGGTTTTGTTTATTCCTAAATTCCTTTTGGCAGTCTTTTGCAAACCATGCGATTTAGTATTTTTCTAACTGGTGCCAGAGCTTAGCCTAATGTCCTGAAAATATTGTTGAATATATCATTATTAACATGGAAATAATGATATATTTAGCATGATTCTTAAATATAGTGCTGAATTGATAAAATCACAGTATGGCCACATTCACATCTTCAGCTCATAACAAGCAAGGTAAAGTCTGTATCTTCCAGCTTCCGCCTTCCAATCTGAAGCAAATATTAGCCAAATGTAAATATCCACCAACATCCAGTGAATCTCTTACCACCAGTTTTCACAAATTTCATGTCTCAGTATTCACATGTTTAAATCTTACTGCAATGTTAAGTCTCTCACTGCAATGTATAGCCTCCAAATATTCATCCATCCATCCAATGCTGTGTCTATTTGCGGCTCTCATGTTCGCATAAAACATCCAAGCCAAAACATTGAATTTGGAGTGACGTGTTTTGCCACCTCTCAGGGTAGCTGCTTCAATCTCATATTGGTCTCAGAAACGTACGAGGGAGCTTGAGATGCACCAACAGACATGCTTCAGATTATCATTACACAAAATCATTTTGAGATATTCATTTGTTTTATCAAATATGACAATGTCTTATTTTTATACTTCCCTTAAACTTTTTTGAATCTTCCATCTTGCTCTCTTCTGGTGAACATTTCCTGAAAAATAATTCATTTTGCCACCCTTGTTAAGATTATAAAATTTGTCCTACCCTACATAATAACATTTTTCAGTTACAGATCAATATTTTTACAGAAGTAATTGGTCCTCTAGGACAGGGCTGCCCAAAAGGTAGATCCCCAGATGTTGTAAAACTACAACTCCCATGGTGCTTTGCATGCCTTTAGAATGGTTTAGAGTGACAAAGCATCATGGAAGCTGTAGTTCTACAACATCTGGAGATCAACCTTTTGGGCATACTTTCTCTAGGAGATATATTCAGGTCTAACTTGCCAAGCAAGGGTTAATATGTTAGCAATACATCTCTCAGTTCAGTTAGGTGTCTCATGTCAAGTTGTATATTTAAAGCCACAGCTGCTTGTGCATATGCTTAGCTCCCCCTTATCAGTATTTGTCTTTATATTGTTCACCACTATAAGCCTGCAGTAGGCTGTTACACCCATGTTTGTTCAGTTTTATGAAACACCCACTAAAAATACATATTTAATCTGTATTTTCTTTCTTTCTTATATTATCATTAGTAAACAGAGCACATGTCTAAAGGTGGTACAACGTGGTTTAATACATTCTTGTATATAAATGAAAGCTGTAATATTCAAGATTAATGCTCCTGAAATATTTTTGTAAGAGCACAAAAATGTATTTGCACAGGGTTGCATGACTATAAAAAACTAATGGAAACGGTGTAATCAATCATAGAATGTAGATGGCGGCTACATACACCAACAAGCGTCTTAAATGAGTGTAAGCTCAAAAGGAAACTGGTATGAGCGCTCTTAAAAAAAATATACTAAGTATATAACGATAAACACAAATTTATTAGTATAAAACATATGCAAATAAATTAATTAGAACCTAAGTATAAACACATGGCCACAATAATCTGTAGCTAATTAATAGTGAGCTATAATAATAAAGTAGATAGAGCTATGCAAATATGAATACATAAATAAGTACATGTAGCCACCACGATACAATAAATAACACTGTATCCAGAGGCTCCAGTGCTTACCTCACATATACAGCAACAAAAATAAGTACAGTAAATAAAATAAGATATAAAATATAACAGAAAATAAAAAATATATGTAAAAAGTACCTTGCCTCAGTGTGGGCCCCCCACCGAGGTGTATGTGAAAATAACAGTAAAAAGAAAGTTCCTGGAAAGAATATATCCAGATAAATAAAAAGAGGATGGTGTCAGATGGACAAGCCGTCAAATCCAGACATAATCGATAGGTGGGTGGTAATAGGTAACACCCCGGTCTGGATCTTCGAAAAAGACCGCGGTGTATAGGAAGCAAACTCCCAGCAGAAATCAATAACCACCCCAGACTAGACGACAGGAACCGTAGATACCGGGAACATCAACCACTGTAGCAGGAATATGAACTGCAAACAGATATGAGCTCACGGAAAGACAGAAGCAGTGGCTCTAAAAACCTCACCAATGCTCTATGCAGGAACAGATCAAAGGGTCAGCTGAAACAAAGTATCAATGCGTTTCATCCCTCTCACAGGACTTTTTCAAGACAAAATAATTCCCAGAAGTCCGGGTTTAAATACCCCATAAGCACCATGGAATAAGGGGCATATGAAAAATCCAGACTGGGTCCATGGTAAAGCACATCGTGGGAAAAACATGGACATAACTTATAAAAGGCAAAAATACACATATCAAAATTAAAAACTTAAGCATAAACACTTTAAAAAAACAATGCATTATTGTTAGGCAACAGATGATGATTATCAACTAAACATATTAAAAGGTACAAAAAGACTTATCAGACTAGAAAATAGAGATAGCCATTGGAAGGTGGTAGTGGATGTCTTATTCATATATGTTTGAGGAATATACTTCCTCTTAATAGGTTTCAGATAATTATTAATGATGAACCAATAAGATATCTTATGGCTCATTAGCTTATAGGCAAAATTACTTAAAGTATAAAGAGAGCCAGAATAAGCTCCTCATTAATAGAGGATGTTGCATCGAGTTACGGTATAGCATACTCCCCTATACACCACCATTCCTATAGAGCAAAGGCACCAAACGATTTCTATTTATTACCTAAAGCTGTCACGAGTGATAGCTGCAGGGAATAGGCTCTATGGAGAGTCTCGCGGGATCCTCCATATACCTTACTGCTGTACTCTCGCTCATGTGAAGAGGAACCACTAGAGTAAGAAGGCGGTGCCCAGGAGGGACAGGTTCAGGTAAGCAGAACTCATGTGTCCTTGCCCCACTGGACTCCCAGCGATGTCACCATCGGGCTTGTTGGAATTTCTGTAAAGTCCCAAGATGGTGACAGTGCCGCTTTAAGGTTAAACTGCATTAGATACATTCAATTACCTTAGTTTTGTTATCAATTTTGTTGTGTTTTACTAATCAATTTGCAAATAAATATGCTTCAACATAAGGGAACAACACTGCAAGTAAAATAACCTCTAGATTCTGCTGTAGGGGTTATGGGTCCAGGCCCCTCTCAGAGTAAGTCAAACCATTTTAGTATTTATCTTGAGCTCCCGTTCGCCTACTCCACATCCAATCTTCTCACTGAGTTAAGCAGGCCTGATACAGGACCACACTCATTGGTTGAGAGCACTCAATTTATCCTCTCAGCCAGTGAGCATGGCCTTGCTTATTGCAGTGGATCACTGCTAGGAGATTCCAGATACAGGGCTATGGCTGCGGGCGCCCAGCAGGAATAAAATGATTTGATACATTAATCTGTGAGGATGCTATGGCCTGCCTGGCACCATAACCACTACAGTAGGATATTGTGGTTATATTTTTTTCTTATGTCCCTGCAAATTAAACCAATATAAACTACAACACTTTTTCTAGTGCTGGATATTTTAATCCTATGCTGATCTATAGCTTAATGATTTATAAAAAATTTTAATATATAAAATAAGCCAGTAAGCTCACAGCCTTAATCGTAATACCACATATTGTAGCAAAATCCTCCATTATCTTTGAAAATATAGCTGTTTTGAGGACAAATTCTTATATTTTAGAATGATTAACCTGCAAGTGACTAAAAAGGATATTGCAAAACAATATCTGTATATTATTGTCCCATTAAAGGAACATCTGTCAGTGTGTTTTACCTGAACGAAGCCTTAACATTTTTTAAATTACCAATCTCTATGTTTAGAAGTGGCAAAGATGCCAGTGAAACTATTTACACTAGATTTGCATTATGCAGAAAGGATTAATGTTTTAAAAATAGTTCTATGGGCTCGATAAGTCAGTGCTTAGCATTATCTGTCTCAAGGACAGAACCATGCCTCAGATAAGAACATTTTTATAAAAAAAAAGTTTGGGTTTTCAAATATAACACAGGGAATTGTGTTTAGATGTTATCGGTTTAATTTGTTGTAAAGTTGTTTGTATGATATTAAAATGTAAATATTTCAATGCCCTCAGTCAAACTGGTTCATTAGGATACACCCAAGGTGTTTTTCATTTTTTCCCTTTTTTTTGTATGCAATACCTTTTAGAACCATAAACTCTAGAAACTCTAATTTTTATCTTTTTTCCCTATTGTTTTATAATAGGATACTCATATTTTGTATTTAAAAAAAATCAACAACACATATATATATATATTTTTTTTTAATTATTGACCAATTTGAAGTTTATTTACTAGTTGCTGTAAAGACTCATATACAATTAAAGGGACACTCTAAACACCAAAACAGCTTTAATTTAATGTAGTGGTTTTGGTGTATAGATCACCAAGAGTCTCACTGCTCAAATCTCTCTCATTCACTTTATTTATGCAGCCGTAGGCACATCTCTCCTGGCTGCGACTTACACAGTAGAGACCACACTTCTTGTTAAGAGAGCTCTAATTTTCATTGGCAGGCACCCTGGTGTGTATTCATGCCAGGCTGACTTTCTTATTAATTGGGTAGACCCGCTCGTTTCCAGGTGGGTCTTCCCCATTTGGGTGGGACCAGTGATGTGGTAACATTGTGGCAATGCCAAAACTATTCTGTCTGGTTAGGAAAAATCAATCTGTTTTTCTTTAATTTTAATTTTCTGAAGAGTTAAACACTAAACTATAATGTTCTGTATGCTACAAGCCACTGTGTTATCTTGACTGATATTACATAAACCGAGAAGTAAATAAATTAATCCATTTTGGAATAGCCATGCTGGCAAAATGTTTTATAAAAGGTGAAAGCAAGATCCAAATGCATGTGTATCGGTTTACACATCTCTTTCTCTTGAATGTTAAGTATGCTGAGAGATTCCTCAATCAAATTTTCCCACACAGCTTTGATTTCCACACACTTTAGGGCTTCCCAGCGCTATGTAAAAATCCACACCTATTATGGAAAATCAGTGATTTAATGACAGTAATTCCAATGGGATGGCCTTCAATGTGTCGGGATCCCGCGGGCGGCTGCGAGGGGAGGCTGCACTCCGCTCGCGGTACTCACCCTCCAGCCGTCCGCGGTCCCCTCCTCCTCGTGGGCTCGGCGAGCGGCATCCTTCCAGCCTCGGATGCCGCCCGCGTTTTCCTCCACGTCCCCCAGCGGCAGCATGCATGACGCTGCACGCTGGGAGACCGCCCAAATTATTACACGCCGGGGTCAGTCACCTGACCCGGCGTTAAAGGCACAGTGCCTCAATCACAGTGGGAGGTTTAGATATCTCCCACGTGTGATTGTTAATTCTGATTGGAAATTATCCAATCAGAATTAACCTTATGGTTTAAATACTTACCTTTCCTGTTCCTCCCTGCCCTGTTGTGGTCTTTGCTTACTAGTATTACTTAACTTGTGGTTCTGGTTACGTACTCTCTGGCTTGTTTATCTGACTCTGTGACTTTCTCCTACCCTTTGACCTCGGCTTGTCTATCGTTATTCTGTCTTCCGGTTCCCCTTTACTCGGCTTGTTTCCTGACTATTCTTTGTGTGCTTAGCCCGGCCACTCTAAGGTCCGGTACTGCACTTTGTGTGTGTGTATTGGCGTGTTTGGTTCCCCGAATCGTGACATTACAACAGGGCCATAATGGAACCTGCTGACATACCACAGCTCCTAGTTAATCAAGAGGCTAGAATGGATGGCTTGGACCACCGTATGGATCAGTTTGCTCAAGCTTTGCAAACCATACTGGCTCGTACTGCACACTTGCAGCCTGCCATTCAGGAGGCTGCTGCTGCTGTGCCCGAACCCATTCCCACTCCAGTACCCGTTCCCGCTCATGCAGTTCACATGACGCCGCCACAGCGCTACAGCGGTGACCCAGCATTGTGTTGTGGTTTCCTCAACCAAATCGACATCCATTTGGTGATGAATCCACGTTCCTATCCCACTGACAGATCTAAAATTGTCTTTTTGATAAACCACTTGTCCGGGAGAGCTTTAGCATGGGCCAACCCCATTTGGGAAAATACGTCTCCTATGTCCTTTGCAGATTTTCTGACAGCTTTCAGACGCACGTTTGATCAACCCGGTAGGGTTGCTTCTGCTGGCAAGGCTCTGCTTAGGGTCCGACAGGGTAACAGATCAGTAGCGGATTACACTATCGAATTCCGCACTCTAGCAGCTGAAGTGGTTTGGAATAATGACGCCCTCGTAACAGCCTTTCAGGAGGGTTTGGCCGCTTACATACTGGATGAAATAGCATCCAGGGAATTGCCTGTTCTTCTAGATGATGTTATAGACTATATGATTCTTATCGATAATTAGAGAGAGGCGTAGTCAAAGATGGCTGGATACACGGATGTTACCTGCTCTACCCAGTACTGAAATGCTAGCGTTACCTGCTCCTGGGCAACCATCCCCTGAACCCATGCAGTTGGGTGCTACGGGGTTAACTGAGGCCGAAAGAGCGTACCGTAGAAGGGAGGGGTTATGCCTTTATTGTGGGAAGAGGGGGCACCACTGTAATGCCTGCCCTAAAGTACAGGGAAACTGCAGCACCTAAGGCCTAGAGAGGGGTCGGCCTCGGGTGTTATGACTTTGTCCCCTCATGTGTCCATCTCCAGACCGTTTATTACAGTTTCTCTTTTGGTCAATAAAACCACTATAACAACCAAAGCCTTGATCGATTCAGGTGTGGCAGACAACCTTATGGATAAGACCTTTGCCAAAACCGCAGCCCTGAATTTGATCCGAAAGGATACACCCTTGGCCGTTGAGGCCATAGATGGTAGACCACTGGAGAAATCTCTGGTGACCCATGAAACCCAGGAAATAGTTATGTCTGTGGGTGTTTTGCACAAGGAAAAGTTAACCTTCCAAATAATTGACTCCCCTACAGCCTCCATCGTTCTGGGTTTTCCCTGGTTAGTTAAACACAACCCTGTACTTGATTGGGGTTGTTTAGATATACTCTCCTGGGGGGAATCTTGTCAACGAGACTGTATGACAAACCCCTCCATCCCTATTGTTATTTTTCTAAAAGGTTGTCTGATCCAGAGAAGAATTGCGATGTTGGGAACAGGGAACTATTAGCTATTGTGTTAGCTTTTAAGGAATGGAGGTACTTATTAGAGGGTTCTAGACACAAAATTATGGTTATAACAGATCATAAGAACCTCTCCTATATAGCTGATGCTAGAAGGTTATCTGCCCGGCAGGCTAGATGGTCTCTATTTCTTTCACGCTTCCAATATGTTATTACCTATAGACCTGGTTGCCGTAATGCCAAAGCTGACGCTATCTCTCGACAGCATGAACCAGTAGAATTTGTTAACCCGACTCCTGAACCTATTGTACCTGCGTCTCAGATAATAGCTGCTACCCGTTTGGTTGTTTCGTCACCTTTCCTTGATAGTATTAAGACATACCAAACCCAAGCACCCCTTGAGACGCCGGTTGGTAAACTATACGTTGAAGCAAATGACAGAAAAAAGTTGTTAACTTTATTTCACACCGCCAAAACTGCTGGTCATCCGGAGGTTACCAAAACCTACAAGGGCCTCCTTCAACAGTCCTTCAAGTGAGACGTAGTGGATTTTGTTCAGGCTTGTCTGCACGCAGTGTAAGTCCCCTAATGTGAGACCTCAGGGTCTACTGATGCCTCTATTATACCCAAGAAACCATGGACCCACTTATCCATGGATTTCATTGTAGACCTTCCTCTTTCTGATGGTCAGACGGTGATACTGACTGTGACGGATAGGTTCTCTAAAATGGCGCACTTTATTCCGCTTAAGAAACTGCCTTCTGCGGTTCAGTTAGCTCAGGTGTTTGCCAAAGAAGTGTTCCGCTTGCATGGGGTACCTCAGGATATCGTGTCTGACAGGGGTCCTCAATTTGTCTCTCGGTTTTGGAGGGGCTTTTGTGCTGAGATGGGGGTCTCCTTGTCGTTCACTTCCTCCTATCACCCGCAATCTAATGGTGCGGCTGAACGTGCTAATCAGTCTGTGGAATTGTATTTGCGCTGCTTCACTAATGCGCACCAGGATGACTGGTCTCGCCTCCTTCCGTGGGCTGAATTTGCCAGGAATACGGTGTTTCATTCGTCTACTGGCTTAAGTCCTTTTGAGGTTGCTTATGGGTTTCGGCCTTCTGTCCTTCTGATGGTCAGACGGTGATACTGACTGTGACGGATAGGTCCTCTAAAACGGCGCACTTTATTCCGCTTAAGAAACTGCCTTCTGTGGTTCAGTTAGCTCAGGTGTTTGCCAAAGAAGTGTTCCGCTTGCATGGGGTACCTCAGGATATCGTGTCTGACAGGGTCCTCAATTTGCCTCTCGGTTTTGGAGGGGCTTTTGTGCTGAGATGGGGGTCTCCTTGTCGTTCACTTCCTCCTATCACCCGCAATCTAATGGTGCGGCCGAACGTGCTAATCAGTCTGTGGAAATGTATTTGCGCTGCTTCACTAATGCGCACCAGGATGACTGGTCTCGCCTCCTTCCGTGGGCTGAATTTGCCAGGAATACGGTGTCTCATTCGTCTACTGGCTTAAGTCCTTTTGAGGTTGCTTACGGGTTTCGGCCTTCTGTCCTTCCCGGTGCGTTCTCAGACAAGGGAATGCCCGCCTTGGACCAGCACCTCGCCTCTTTGCGGAAGACGTGGGATCAGGTCCATGTTGCGCTGTCTCGTTCAGCGGCTGCTCAGAAAAAGTTTGCTGATCGCCGTAGGGTTGCGGCCCCTTCTTATGTTCCGGGTGATAGGGTATGGTTGTCCTCCAGGAACCTCCGTCTCAAGGTTCCCTCGATGAAATTTGCTCCCAGATTTCTTGGTCCCTACAAGGTGTTACGTAGGGTTAACCCCGTTTCCTGCTCCCTTGACCTGCCTCCTTCCATGCGTATCCCGAACACGTTTCACGTCTCGCTTTTGAAGCCCTTGCTGTGTAACTGGTTCTCTCGTCCCCTTGGGCGGCCCATTTCCCCTCGCGCTGTCTCTAGCGACGTGTACGAGGTGGCTGCCCTTCTCGACTCTCGTGTTTCTAGGGGTCGGCTGCAATATTTGGTGGATTGGAAGGGGTACAGTCCTGAGGAGCGGTCTTGGGTTTCGAGCTCTGATATGCACGCTCCCTCTTTGGTCCGCTCCTTTCATGCCCGGTTTCCTTTGAAGCCTTCTGCTCCCCGCCCTCCGGGCGGTCTTCGAGGGGGGGGTAATTTCGGGATCCCGTGGGCGGCTGCGAGGGGAGGCTGCACTCCGCTCGTGGTACTCACCCTCCAGCCATCCGCGGTCCCCTCCTCCTCGTGGGCTCGGCGAGCGGCATCCTTCCAGCCTCGGATGCCGCCCGCGTTTTCCTCCACGTCGCCCAGCGGCAGCATGCATGACGCTGCACGCTGGGAGACCGCCCAAATTATTACTCGCTGGGGTCAGTCACCTGACCCGGCGTTAAAGGCACAGTGCCTCAATCACAGTGGGAGGTTTAGATATCTCCCACGTGTGATTGTTAATTCTGATTGGAAATTATCCAATCAGAATTAACCTTATGGTTTAAATACTTACCTTTCCTGTTCCTCCCTGCCCTGTTGTGGTCTTTGCTTACTAGTATTGCTACTTAACTTGTGGTTCTGGTTACGTACTCTCTGGCTTGTTTATCTGACTCTGTGACTTTCTCCTACCCTTTGACCTCGGCTTGTCTATCGTTATTCTGTCTTCTGGTTCCCCTTTACTCGGCTTGTTTCCTGACTATTCTTTGTGTGCTTAGCCCGGCCACTCTAAGGTCCGGTACTGCACTTTGTGTGTGTGTGTTGGCGTGTTTGGTTCCCCGAATCGTGACACAATGTCTCTGACAGCATGAGAATTCTACATAGTGATGGAAAGCACTATTCCTGTATCTCCTGATAGCATGTGGAACTCATAGCAAGGTGGCTAAGGTGGGGATTCTAGATAGGCATGAAAGGTAAGGAACTGCTCGGTATTGTATCATTTTGTTGAGGTCTACATCTACTGACGTTTAATTATATTTATCTTCATTACTTTTGTGTTGGGAAACTGTTCTTATTAAATACATTATTTTTAGAGAATGTTCAGAGTATGTTGATTCAGAGTTCTTTTAAAATATATTGTATTTAGGAGCACTCCAAATCCCTAAAGTACTTGAGTTGCTCGAGTGCTTTATGGGTTAACAGAGCATCTCCTCTCTCTTTATAAAAAGTGCAGATTTCAAGAGAAATCAGCACTTTTATAAAACTCCTAACTGCCAACCAGAAAACTGTGACTGGTTTCTTCCATCTCATGCTTTAAGTACTCATTCAAAGCAGAGTTGAGAATTCTCATTGTAAAGCTTTGGTTTCAGTGTTTTTGTTTTAATAAGAAGTGTTGTCAGTGCATCGTGGAGATTGCTGCCCATGCGTCCTACCCCTCAATATTTCTCTGTGGGAAGAACTGGATTGGATATGAGATCATTGCTAGTGATGGTCCCCAGAGATGTAGCGAGGAGACAGTCTTGCTGTTGTAATAACTTTTTTTTAGGGCAAAGCAGAGTGGGAGAACTGAATTTATATCAATTTTTCAACACTCCAGCCTTATCAATAAATGTATTTATTCATAACGCCGAAGTGCTTTAAAATTTCCAATTGCGCTATATTGTATAAATCGGCTTTCCCCTACAGTGAACCAAACAGTGACTGTATTTCAGACAGAATGAACGTATCCATGGAGATGTTTTGAATTGGCTGAGATGACCTATTTTATTTCGTATATAATGCTTATTTCTAGAGACGTCACATTAACCATTAGCTTGCAATGAGGCTGTTCTTATTCCTTTGTTACATGTATGTTCATAACAGTGTCCGATCTGTGTAAATGTAGTATAAAATACATCCACTAATTAGCATGGTATTTGATTCTTTGTCTGATAGATGTCTTGCTCAGGGAACTATCTGTCTGTTTATCCTTTGAGTTGTCCAACATTGTATCATTGCTATTTTTGGACCAATACAAAAACTGGATCCAACATAGCAATGTTGCTGACCAAGGCTGCTATGTATGGAGGCAGTCAGTGTGTGTACTTGTGTTTGTATGTGTATGTGTGCGTGCGGAGCCAAGGCTGGCTGGAATATGTAGCACACAGGGATAGACTGTCTGCAATAATCACATAACATATGGCCTGCTGCCTTCACGAAACCTGTTTCTAGGACAACCAGGAAGTGTATTCCGTGGAAAATGAATAAAATTTTGGTTTCTTATATTTAACTCACTCTGATTACTCACTCAGCCAGTTTAGACAACCTTGAAGCAATCTCTCACCTTTCTATTAGAGGGGCAGTCTAAGGCCTGCTTATAGTGCAAGGAGTCCCCTTAAGTGACAGAGAGTGCACTTTCACTATTATCTGTTCCATTAGCACTTTTGCAATGTTATGAATGTATGGTGAACCCAAGGCACCCAAGCACTCTCTCCCATTTATAAACCTATAGTTTTGAGGCTCCTGGTACACACCAATAACTCTGTATGCAGAAGTAGTTAAACCCCATCCTTCTGAGTGTGTGCCATGTGGAGGATTTGAGGCTGGATCATAGCTCCCAGTTTCTGGGGAATAGTCATTATACTTTTCTTTGCAGATTGGAGACCGAATGAAAAGGGCAGAGGCATCTGGCACAAACCAGAACCACTGATTGATGTGAGTACAGTAGGTTCTGATGGTGGTCAGGCCAGTAAACTGGCAGACATGACTTTCAAGCACTGCATGCAGCTCCCAGGGTATCAGCATTGCAGACACACATTGGCTGAATTCAATGTGGTCATGTGACCATTGAGGCATCTTGTGCACAGTGAACTACTGTCAGCTCAAATGTAAATCAGCAGTAAGTGTGAACGTGAGTGTGTACGAGTGTGCATGTGTCATTAGTTTGTGTGTAGAAGTGTCCATGTGAATATGCATACATATATTAATGTTAATGTTCATATTTAAGCTTGGCTTAACTACCCGAGCAGAAACATACTGTGATGACATATCCAGTTTCTAGGTCATTCCTAATGGCATATTGTGATTCCGAAAATTCACATTATAGGATACAGTTTGGCAGTCACACCTGCTCATTGCACAGCTAGCTTTTGGAAGGATCAGATGATAACTTCCATCGGCCACAATTATTCCTTTATGTACATATCCTTTTAAAGAATATATGTCTGCTAAAATTTCAAAACTAAAAATTGATTTATCATGGAATATACATTGTATTATTGTGTTTTTAATATTGGAGAACACAAGTTCATGGAGCCTAAATAGTGATCAATAACATATTTTTACAATTTTGTAGTGAATCAATCTATTTAGAATTCGGAACATTGTAGCTATTTATGAAGCTGCGTTAATAGATTTTACTTGTTATAGAATAGAATATGATAAAGAATGGGTAATTAATTATGTAAGGCGGGAAAAAAAAGGAAAATTATTGTGTTGCTCTTTCCATCTCCTTATCAATGATACCTGTTATTTTAACTCCAGAAAACCCTATAAGAGAAGATGAAGATCATCTCCTTCAATGGTTCTCTAGCTAATGGCCCTTAAACACACACAACTTAATATAAAAAAGAAATCTGCTGGTGAACTTACTAATAAATCACTTAACGGGTGTAAAAACACACATTTATAAATTTAGATATCCCCTAAACCAGGGACAGGCAACCTTTGACACTCCAAATGCTGTAGCCTACAACTCCCCTAATGCTTTGTCGGGCATTATGGCTGTAAGAGCATTATGGATAATTACCGCACATGTGCCTTTCTGTGTTGCACAGAGAAGCAAAGTGCAGCTCTTGGTAGCAACACTGAAATTTAGCGCATGGTTTCACAAAATTGATAGATCATCCTCATAGATCTCTATAAAATGGCGGTGTTTGCAGAATTGCCCACTAGTGGAGGGTAATCATGACCAGGTAGAGAACTGGCATGGTCTCTTTTCTCTCCTCTTTGGAATCTAGTGAGATATATAATGATGGACTCTGGCGTCCCAAAGTACCCTGGTTCCAAAACTGTTAGGGTTAGAAGATCCCCAAGCCAGAACAGGATGCTATTGGATTGTTTTGTGTATAGAAAGCTCTATACTTTATTAGCAACCCTTTTCCTCCAGCCAATAGAAATGGCATACTTTTACAGTGTAGGTAAAGTTCAATTGATTTAGGAACTAAACATTCAATACTATTTCAATCTTATAAATTATGTGAAGCCCAAGTGCAACATTTTAGATAATGCCATTTAAGAAAATAATCAATATGTATCAATTAAGGTAAGATGTTAAATTTGTTTTTGTAGCGGAGAGGTAGTTTAATCCACAGTATCTCCGCTGGGTAACAGGAACAGCATAAAATAATCCAAATAAATAAATACAGCATCCAATAATCCCGGTAGCGTTATAAGAATCCTTCCTTCCCAAGAACTAGACGACACATAGGCTGGGAGTCAACTGAGGTTTTATTTTCAGGTCAGAGTATTTATGGGATTCCCCATGCAAGGGGTTTCCCTACTGACATTCCAGGGGTGGTACGGGGGTGGTACAGTAGGGGACTACATGAGGAACTGACCAACACATACATTTTTCCCATCATGCACTGCTGGACTAGAGGGATACTCCCACTGAAATATACCGTTAATGGGATTATCCCTCCGTGCAGCAGAATTTACATTTTATATTAAAATGTATAACTTTACTAATATTCCCTTGATTTACACGAATGGACGTTCGGTAGATAGCTGGAGGCTGAGCGCATAGTTCGCTCAGCTCCCAGTCTAACTAACCGAACGCCGCACGAAATACACATTATTTCTAACATATGTTTAAAATACCGATTAGAACGGCCAGGGCTCCCGAACGGCCTGGAAGTCCAGCGGTGTTCGCGCTGTCGAGTAGCCGTTTTTAGTTCCAGGCGCTCGACGGCAAAACCCCGCTGGGCTAACAAAGGATCCAAGATGGCCGACCGCCGCGTGGTCGGTAGCCGAACGGCGGCCACCCAGGAAAGCCTTTAACTACCGATTGCAACAATGTTGCAATCGGTTAATGGGCGCCACACGACCTCCTGTGTGTGGTCGACCATTCACTAGTTCATTCGTTTCACGAACAGTGTTGAAACTCACTGTTCGTGAAACTACATAGGGAATGCTGGTTTTCCATATTGCAAGCATACGAATGCCCTCGTTCGCCTGAAAGCCACATACAGTATTAGACTTGGTTCTTACAGCTAAAACAAGGATATCCACACATGCAATACAGGAATAGTCTTAAGTGGCTAGTTTTGCCACAGTTTTGTTTATAAAACAGTTACACTGCTCAGTTAAAGGTGCATTTAAAGTTAGTTATATTACGAAATGTTATGACCTATCGCTAGCCATAGACCTAAAATCTGTACAATAATAAATAGGGCAAACAGAAATACGTATGTGTTTTTTGTACTAGCCATTTTAACTACTAAATATTCCCAATAGTGCAATAGATAATACTATGTCACAAATGTAATTCCGGTACTCGTTTAAATTGGCTCAATTATTTTTTTATGCAATTAGGATAATATATTATGCACAGGAAGCTGAAGTTCATATGATAAAAGCCGCAACTCTGTGATTTTAATCAAGCTACTGTCAAACACCCATTTAGGAATCCTGCTAGCTTATACTAGAATGTGCACATTCATACATTACATTAAAGGGACACTATAGTCACCCAGACCACTTCAGCTCAATGAAGTGGTCTGGGTGTCAGGTCCCTCTAGGGTTAACCCTGCCTGATTTCAGAGAAACTGCTATGTTTACATCTGGGGTTAAGCCAGCCTCAATCACGCAGAGCGTCCATAGGAAAGCATTGAAAAATGCTTTCCTACGAACACTTTGAATGCGCGTGCGGCACTGCCGCGCATGCGCATTCCTCGCCGGTGACGTCAGACAAGGATGCTCATTGAAGTGGTCTGGGTGCAATGTCCCATGTCCCTTAACCCTACAGAGGTAATTATTGCAGTCTCTGAGAAAGTGCAATAATTACCTCTGAGGGTTAACTCCTTATGTTCTACTTTGTCAACTTATCATTTTATTTTTACTGTCACATGGGAGGGATGGTGGCTTGTATTGTTTGCTGGTTGCTTTGTTCCATAACGAAAGACTCTTATAAAACAATTGGTATTGTTTGTATTATTATACTAAAATATTTTTTTATATGCTGCTCAATAATCATCCTATAAATCGAGAGCATCTTTTGTTTTGTCTTCACAGTATGTGTGAGTAATGCTATTTCCATGTATCATTTTGAGCCTCACTAGACTATGGATTACCTGGTTTGAATTTCCAGATAGAGGCTAATATTTCATCCTTTTCCTTTTTGTCTTGTGCCTAAATGTGATCAATATCGTGTCTGCCGTAGTTTATGGACTTCATGATACCATTGATTGCATTTATCTGCTTTTGGTGTTAAAAATAAAACAAATACAAATCTACAAGCAACAAGAAATTTATATAATAACATTTCAAAAATAATGTTTTCATTTGGCAAGGTTTTAAAGCAAAAGGCTTAATAATAGATAAAAAAAAGTAAATCCCATATCTTCATCAATCCATATCCCCAAAATAATATTGTCTCCACTATATAATATAACCTGATAATCTAGTTTTTTAGGCATTTTAAAAATTGTTTCTTTTTTTGTATTTTTCCATATAAAGATATTGGATTATTTGTATATATTGAGTTTTTATGTGTATGTTTCTTATGTATTTTGCTGTGCTTTAAATGGGTAAACAAAATAAAATAAGTTATCAGTAAGAAATGAAGGTGAAAGGGCCCAACTTAAAGAGCTTACAGTTTATGCATCATCAATGGTTGGAACACTCACTGGACTCTTTCATTTCTGAATCTTTTTCCTGTAACCTATGAAAACATGATTTATGAAAGAGAGCGAGAGGGTGGCTAAACTATACACAACCTTTGGCCTGCTGCAGCCACTCCTGTTCTACTGAATGTTTTTTGTTAGCTTTTGATACAGACGTCAGACAAGTGCAAATTAATTACATATATAATTATTCTTCTGTTTCTGTCCTCTTTAGGTACTGTAGTAATGTATTGTTGAGATTTTCTTATGATTAGGTAGCCATAGTTGTCAATTGTACAGTTTTTGCCAGGACTGTCCTGTTCCCAAATCTGCCTACAGTACAGCTTGTGATCAGCACTAGTAAATAATACTTATCACAAATGGAACTGCAGAGAGATTTCATAATTGTTTGATCACTGTGGCTGTTAAAGATGGTAACACAGAGGAGCATTATCAAATAGGAAAATAGTTGGTCTTCTAATACTTGTACTTTTTAGCAACAAGATAAGATTATATTGTACATTAGTAATCTGTTAAAGTGGTCTAATGACACCTCAGCAGTGACTCCTAAAAGTATAAGCAATGAAACACTCCAAGAACCATAACCACTACAGCCCACTGAAAATGTTATGGTGCCAAGAATGCCCTGGCACCCACCCAGAGTAAATAGTCAACCTGTTTAATACCACTTTGACATCTTACCTGTGTCATTCTGGGCACCAACTGCCATCTCTCTTAATACTGGAAGGAGCTTCCTGTTAGCTCTACTGAGCTAAATCCAGCAAGAACCACTACAGCCTGCTTCAGTTGTAATGGTACCAAAGTAAATAGTCAGACTATTTGCGACCAGTTTGACAAATTAACTGGTGTCTGACAAGTGCTGTCACCTCCCCTCACCTCCTGAGTTTGATGAGCAGTAGGTATAGTAGCAGTAGGGCTTAGCATCTTGGCGGAGCATTCTTAACTGATGCTCTCAGCCAATGAGCTGGCCTTGTATGGCATGGCTTAACTCAGTGCTGCTAATGGAAACTCTTTGAAGGAGGCCTTGGCTGGTGCCTGTCACATCCCAGGTAGGTTGTCAAACTATTCCCAATACCTACCCTAGGACAGGGATAGGAAACCGTGGGCACTCCAGATGTTGTGGACTACATCCCCCATACTGCTCTTGCTGAGCATCATGGGAGGTGTAGTCCAAAACATCTGAACTGCCAAAGGTTGCCTATGCCTGCCCTAGGAGGACACTAGGGCACTATTTGCAACATAACCTTTATGCAATTTATGAATGTGCACTATACATATTGTGTAACAGACAACAATACAATAAATAACGTAAGCATTCAGAGCACCAGCAATAAGCAGAAATGTCCAAAATGTCTCTGCTAGCAAGCCCCTTATCTGAGTATTGTCTAGTCCTCATCAGGGTATAAGAGAGATTCAGAATGCCCAGCCACTAGTTTGAGACCTCCATGTAGCGGGTAAGCACCACTGCTTGTCAATTGTTTAGCTTTCATGTAGTCGTGCTAAACCAGAAGATATATAATTTGTTCCTCCCTGTGTATATCTGACGTGTTGCTTTCTGTATGAAAGTGAGAAGGAAAAAAAACAGTGTGTCTACCTTAAAAATGCCAGAAGAAATTACTAGACATATTTGATATTACAGCATTTTTTTTATTTGAATGAGTGAAAACCTTCAAACCTCCCAGCAATCTTTCCAATCTCCAATTTAGTTTTAGAAACTGAAATATATATAATTTTTGAAATGCTTTGTTTTCTTTTCAATCCTGCATGGAGTTTTCCCACACTGTGTAAAATGACAAAGAGCACTCTGATTGGTTGGCTTGGAATCTAACCAATCAGAGTGCTCTGTGTCATTTCACACAGCGTGAGAAAGTTACTTTCCCACGCTGTGTAAAATGACACAGAACACTCTGATTGGCTTAAACCAACTAATCAGAGTGTTCTTAGCCTAATTGCAGGGCGGGGCAAGGCTTTATAAGCCTTACCCCGCCCTGTGGAGCTCAGTCTGCACCGTGCCCTCCATGGGTGAAGATGGAGTACGTTTTTTTAAACAGTGAGCAGCCACAGGCCATTTTAATCTCCCTTATGCTATTATGGGGGTCATATTGACCCCCATAGAGTGAGGGAGGACATGGGGGGGCTTAGGAAGTGGCGGGGAGCCCTGCTCCCTGCAGCTTCTATCTTTACATATTACAAGGAGGGAGCTGCGCGCCGGTAGCTCCCTCCTTGTAATAAACTGAATGAACAAACGAACACTGATATTCAGTGTTTGTCTGTTCGTCTGAAATTTCTATTCATTCATTCGTCTTTCTGACGAATTAATGAATAGATGAAATTCCCGTTCGCATGCCCAAGTGTTTCACTGGGCATGGGCGGGAATCTCACAGCGCTATCTAGTGTGGCAGAAAATAAAGTGACAAAATAGGTAATATGGGGGCTTAGGGGCATTTGGGCGTGACTAGGGGGTCAGTTAGATGTAGTGGAGTCGAGAGGGGGGTTAAAAAACAAAACGGAATTCGGCCATGACAGTGCCGCTATAAGATCACAGTCTGATTATTTACATCCCACACACATAAAGTTGCATTGTGTTTGGATACTGTAACTTATCAGTGGTGTTTGGCAGACCCCCTATCTGACACACACAGGATTCAATATTTTGCAAAACCTGGTGTATCTAAACCATGCCTGATATGAAATAGTGTTTATTGGTAATAACTCATTCTTATAGTTACTAAACATGTATTATCTGTTTTTGTTCATTTGTCATGTTAAAAAAAAAAAAATTGATCTTGCATTCAGGAAGAGTTCCTTTCTGTGGAATTTTTATTCCAATTTAAAGTTATGTTTTTCCTCTTATCTGTTTCCTGAGAGCAAAGCACGTTTCCTGCTTTATTTGGTGTTTGTAATTGAAGGAGTAGAAGAGTATGGATTCAATTAATTCTATAGCTTTACATAGCACTTGTTCAAACATTAGTTTAAGTGCCGTTAAATTAAGGCAGTATTTCTTAAAAAAAAAAAAAAGCAAAACTGTTAAAAACAAAACAAAAAATAATTTAATAGATTATTGCTAAAACAATAAACGACTACAATTAACTTGACCAGTCCATAGCAGAAATAATGTGTGCGTGGGTTAACCACTTTTGCATATAGGGTACAGATGTAGCAGTGTCATTGACTTCTGTAGGGTACCACGCGCACTAAGTAGCCATTACTGACACACTTCACAGGTCGTGATCTGTATAAGCTTGACCTAAAAAGAACGCTCCACGCACCATAACCACACACAGTGGCGTACACATGACCCATGGGGCCCCGGTGCGAAAATTTATCCGTGGGCCCCCCGCGCGCGCGGGCCGGGCTGCAACACATGACGGTGGGCACCTGGTCGCAGGGGTTACAGGGCTACGACCACGGTATGTACGCCAGTGCATGCAGATGCACACACACTTAAAGGACCACTACAGACACCCAGATCACATCAGCTCAATGAAGTTGTCTGGGTGTCAGGTCCCTCTAGTTTTAACCCTGCAGCTGAAAACATAGCAGTTTCAGAGAAACTATGTTTCACTGAGGGTTAATCCAGCCTCTAGTGGCTGTCTCACTGACAGCCGCTAGAGGAGCACACTGAACGTCCATAGGAAAGCATTGAGTAATGCTTTCCTATGGGCGGTTTGAATGCGTGCGCGGTCGCATTCGGAGCTGAGAGGCTGAGGGATCCCCAGCGCCAAGGGAGTCCGGCGCTGGAGAAAGGTAAGTGCTAAAGACACACACACTCTCACTTACAGACGCATACACACTAGCTAACAGACACACACATTTACTGACAGAGACACACTCAGCGACAGACATACATACATACACACTCACTTACAAAACATACACTCTCATTGACAAACACACACTCACTAACAGACATCAAACAGACTCACTAAGATACACACAGTAACACACTCACTGACACTCACTAGTAGACACACACACTAACACTCACTCTAAAACTCACTCTAACACTAACACTCACTCTAACACTCACACACTCTAACACTCACTCTAACACTCACACACTCTAACACTCACTCACACTAACACTCACTCACACTAACACTCACACACTCTAACACTCACTCTAACACTCACACTCACACACTCTAACACTCACACACTCTAACACTCACTCACACTAACACTCACTCTAACACTCACACACACTAACACTCACACACTCTAACACTCACTCTAACACACACACATGTTTTCTTTTTAAATGTAATCCCCCCAGCCTCCTTACCTTTTGGGGTGCTGGGGGGATTCCCTGGGGTCCAGTGGTGCTGCTGGGCTCCTGGGCGGGTGGCCGGTCTGGCAGGCACACGCGCGAGGGAGCACTCAGTGCTTCCTCTTCAGCTCCCTCGCGCGCCGCGTAGGGATGCTGGCGCCGGAAGATGATGTCATCTTCCGGCTCCGGTATCAGTGCGGTGCGTGAGGGAGCTGAAGAGGAAGCACTGAGTGCTCCCTCGCGCGCCCGCCTGCCAGACCGGCCACCCGCCTGCCCGGTGACAGCAGGGCCAGCCTCAGGGGGCCCTGGGGTGGCCGGCTCCTGGCCCCCCCAGGGGAAGAGGCTGGCCCAGTAGGTACACACCGGGTCGCAGGGGCGGCCGGGCCCCCTGGTGGGCCGGGCCTGGTCGCAGCCGCGACCCCTGCGACCCTGGTATGTCCGCCACTGCACACACACATATACTGCTGTGTGTGAGGGTGCTGTGTGTGTGTGAGGGTGCTGTGTGTGTGTGTGTGCTGGTGCTGTGTGTGTAGGCACTGTGTGTGTGTAGGCGCTGTGTGTGTGTATAAGCGCTGTATGAGTGTGCAGGCGCTGTGTGTGTGTGCAGGCGCTGTGTGTGTGTGTGTAGGCGCTGTATGAGTGTGCAGGCGCTGTATGTGTGTGAGGGTGCTGTGTGTGTGTGAAGGCGCTGTGTGAGTGTGCAGGCGCTGTGTGTGTGTGCAGGCACTGTGTGTGTGAGGGCACTGTGTGTGTAAGGGTGATGTATGTGTGTGTAAGGGTGATATATGTGTGTGTGCAGACGCTGTGTGTGTGAGGGCGCTGTGTGTGTAAGGGTGATGTATGTGTGTGTAAGGGTGCTGTTTGTGTGTGGGTGATGTTAGTGTGTGTGTGAGTATAAGTAAGGGTGCTGTGTGTGTGTGTATGAGGGTGCTGTGTGTGTGTGAGGGTGCTGTTACTGTGTGTGGGTGCTGTGTGTGTGAGGGTGCTGTGTGTGTAAGGGTGATTGATGTGTCTGTGTGCTGTTTGTGTGTAATGTGTGGGGGTGGGAGGGGCCATTTAGTTAATATCCCCTTTCCCTTGTTACCTTATGTAGGGAGGGGGGACCGTGCTGCTGCCATCCCTGGTGGTCCAGTGGTGAGGGAACTCTAGCCCCACAGAGGGCTATAGTTCACTCTCGCGAGATCTGAGCGATGCGGCAACGCTCCGACCTTGCGAGAGGAACCTGGCGGAGCTGCTGGCATGAGCTCCCCGGGTCCTCTCCTGCCTCCCTCCCTGTCTCTGGGTCTGTGAGGGAGATCTTTGATCTCCCTCACGGGCCCACGGATGGAGGCAGATAGCACGTGCCGCGGGGACTAGGGTGTGCCCAGGCACACCCGGCACACCCTGTGCGCACGCCTATGTTGGCAGACAAACTCTGGTGTCTGACAAGTGCTGTATAAGTTCTGCATCATTATACAGTGCATAGACTAAATTGTACAACATCAGCAACTTATTGCTCTAGATCAGGGGTAGGCATCCTTTGGCACGGCAGAAGTTGTGGACTACATGTCTCCTGATGCTTTGCCAGCATTATGGATCGAAGATCATAAATGCAGATGCAGTCAATAACATCTTGAGTTCTGAAGGTTCCCTATCCCTGCTCTAGTTAATCCCATTAATATAACAATTGCAACTATATTTCTGATAACTGTAGTAAGAAAGTCAATAATTATAAACGCTGTCTGCAGACTATATATTTCAAATCCAGTCACAGCAGGACGCTCACAGCGAGAAGAGGTGCAATCAATGAATGGCTAGGGGTCTGGCTACTTGCTGCATTAGTCACGGATATTCTTTCATGTTGCGTTATCTATTTATTCATAACTTGCATGTACATTTTCAGTGTGTCTGCAGTTTATCTCCAGATTCTTTGTCTATAAAGCATGAAGTGTTAGGTAAGGCATTTTGGAGACATTTAAACTCAGGTTACCTGATAAATATATGTTTTTACTTGTCATTTTGGTTTTGCACAGTCTTAACAAACTGATGGGTTCCAGCATAAAATATTTACAAATACATCAAAAGGGACTGAGCATTTTGTGTGGACCAGAGAAAGGTTCTGGCAAGATAGTGCTGCATTGGCAAAATGTCTAGAGAAAATTGCCCTGGTATTTATTTGGTAAAAACTTTAAACTGACACTTAGGACACCATAATGACTTAATATCAGTGAAGTTGTTATAGTGTCTGGAGGTCCTAGGCACCATCTTACCTTAAGGGATTAAACATTCATGAATGGTTTAACCTTGAAGTGCTATCATTGATGCCCGTTAAATCTGCCTTCTACCTGCTACCTCAGTATGTTTCTAAAGCATATTTCTCAATAGGAGGCTGGTGATAGGCTGAAAGTGTCCCATTGAAGGCTTCTGCATTGAATCCAGTGCTGAAGCAAGAGGCAGAGGGGCCATGGGGCACAATCAAAGGCACTTTGGGGTTAAACCATTTAGAGTCTTGTATATATCTATTGGATTGTGAACTTTTTATGGTTCTCTTCACCTCTTGTTTCTGTCATCATTAATTTGTCAGTATTCAGTATGTGTCATTTTAAATCTGCAATGAATAATCGTAAAGCACTGCAGAAGCATTACAAACTATATATGTTGGCGTTATATAAATGCTACTAATAATAATAATAATAGCAGATATAATGTTTGAAATTCCCCCTTGCTACCTTTTTAACCACTCTAACAAAAAAAATAACAAAGTAATACCAAAACCGATCAATTATTAATCTTAATAAAGAAGACACGAAGGCAAAAAGATATTTGTAGTGTGGGCATTTTTTATTGACGTTTTGAGTGACTGATGTCCCAACGTTGTGTCTTGTTGGATCAGCTGGAGTCATGCAGTAATGGAGCTATCCCGTGGCTATATGAACATGATATGAGCACAGATAAAGTGGTTGCATTGTGCTTACATCTAACAGTGCTTCCAGTTTCAAATGATCAGTTTAACAAAAAGACTGAGCTCATTCTCACTTAGGAAGAGAAATGAAGAGCATACTGTAACACGTATATTCTGGGCAAAATGGCTCCTTTAAGATCTTTTAAAATCTCGTTCTAGTAACACAGCTATATATCAATCAGCAAAAGGCATGACAACTTCATAAAACGCGTCAGCCTTGATGTCAATGATGACACATTTTGCCTTTCACATTATAAAACATGTAAAAAATATAAAAAAATAATTCTTATATTTGCTCGTGCAATTAGTTACATGTTATTAATCAATCTGATGTGTTCACTGCATTATCAAGCAGAAATACAGAGCACTAAGAGAATATTAATGCAATGTGTATCTGTCCTGTAAACTAAAAAAGTGAAGTTCATTTACTAATATGCCAACATAAATTTTTTTTTTTTAAATCACTAAAACTTATGGATGTTGTACTTTGCAAGATATCATCTGGCTTCAGATCATCAACCTTGAGCTCTGCCTTACCAGAACATAGCTTTGCTAGTTAGGAGCCTCTCATTATAGTGTATGGAGCCTGAACTGTGGGGCATGTTTAACCAAGCACTGCACGTGTACGTATTGGACACTAACAGAGATTAGAAATGAGACCGTCTATTTGTCTACAGACAGATAACTTGCCTGTGTGTCTCTCACCTATAAAGCTGTCAGCCTAAAACTGACTGTAGAGATAGAGGATAGACGTTGGCTAACAGATTTCAAAGCTCTCTTAGACACAGGCTCTGTTCTGTTTTGAGCAAGCATTTCTTGGACTTGTGATTCAGTTATGATCTTCCTACTGATGTAAACTGTTAGCTGATCTACATCTTTCTGAAATCTTTGGTTATCGTCCTAAAAACATGTATGGAGAAACATGGCTTAGAAGGAGGTAAAAAAATATTATAGAGTCATGTAGGTGGGACATAAGAGGCAAGCTTAAATGGACACTCTGCCCAAATACAAAAGTAAAAAATAAAAAAATAAATAAAATAAAACTCACCTATTAGTAAAAATGCCCCAATGAAAACATTCATGGATTTAATAATGCATTTTTTCATTAAGGATATATAGAAAAACAGTTTGCAAAAATGGCAGATCTCTTGTCTACAGCCTTCACAAGCCCTCCCCTTCTTACCCAACCCAGACTTTCTCTAGCTGTCCAATCACAGATTTCTCATTGCAGCTCAATGAGAAGTATTTTCAAGTCAGCTGCTCTGGGTAATTGCTGCCTCTTGAGTTTAGCTCCACTAAGCTAAGAAAAAAAAAAAGGTAGTAACAGGACCGAATAACTAAATGACAGCTAATTTCTATTGAAATCCGCACTTTTTTGTAAAAAAAAAAAAAAAAAGAGGACACATACTTTACTCATAAAGTACTTCAACATGCTAAAGAGCTGTAGGAGTCTGGAGTGTCCCTTTAAGATGCCAAATGCTGCATTTCATTTTTTTGCAAATAATGTACAAATTATGATCCTATAAAATACATAATTGTTTAGGTCCAAAGCTATGACATGTATAAAAGTTGGTTTGGTGAATGGTTTAAGACTTTTATAATCTGTAGATGACCAAACGTAGTTTACTGGAGTTTCTCATTCTCAGGAAACTGAAGTTGACGCAGCATCCTTTTATACATGAGCATGTTGTCATGCCAACAAAGCAGTTTTTGAGGCAGCTGACAATGCTATAGCGTTGCATCACTTAGATTATACAAACAAATTCCTCAGAGCTTCACAATTGAAAGTACAAATGCGTGACCTATGTGTGACCCATTGAATGACAATTTAAAGGCGACTCTAATGCAATTAACAAATTCCTATTAATGTAATTGTCCATCTACAGATCCAGCAATGTATGTTAGAGTATTTCTCACAATGCATTGTTTTGTATTCTTATCTGAAAAGTTATCTTTCTTGCTTGCTATTTTTTAAGGTGAGTTTAGAGGCCTTGTGCTCATAGATAGTCTTACCCTAAAATATACAAGTGAATGCAATTATTATACAAATGTAGCTGAAAAGTAGTCCAAAATAGACAAAACATATTAAGTATATAATCTAGGTAAGTGGAGTTTTATGGTAAGCTAGGAAGTCTTATCAAATCAAAATTTTGTAATACTGGCAAAAGCGCCCTGTTTACCTTATGGGACCTGCTCCATCGTTAAAGGGACACTCCAGGCACCCAGACCACTTCTGCCCATTGGAGTGGTCTGGGTGCCAACTCCCACTACCCTTAACCCTGCAACTGTAATTATTGCAGTTTTAATAAACTGCAATAATTACCTTGCAAGGTTAACTACACCTCTAGTGGCTGTCTAGACAGCCACTAGAGGGCACTTCCTAGTTTATAGCACAGGTTTTCTGTGCTATAGCGTCACTGGACGTTCTCACGCTGTGTGAGGACCTCCAGCGTTGCTAAAATCCCCATAGGAAAACATTGAAAATAATTTTCAATGCTTTCCTATGGAGAGGTCTAATGCGCGTGCACGGCATTGCAGCGCATGCGCATAAGGTCTCCCCAGCCAGCAGGCGTGATCAGTCTCCCACACCGGCTGACGTAATGGAAGGGGAGGAGTGGCAGCGCACCAAGAAGCAGCGACGAGGGACATCGTCACTGCCTTTGGTAAGTGACTGATGGGGTTTTCACCCCTTCAGCAACCGGGGATGGGAGGAGGGAGGGAGAGGGGACCTGCAGTGCCAGGAAAACGGATTGTTTTCCTGGCACTGGAGAGTCCCTTTAAGATTCTCTTCATCTCATGTACATGTGTTATAATGAATCAGACTCACAAGAAGATTTGTCGTTACTACACCTCATGGATACAGAATCTGGAAGGGGGGGGGGGGGTTAACCCCACCTTAGAAATATGGTTGATCTTTTAAGGTGAAATGTTTCACTGTTTAAGAAAGATAAGAAAAACAATACCATTGGTTTTTATACTAATAAATTTACCAGTGATAATATCTAATTGTGCCTGTTGAATGCATTGTTTAATGTATGCTCCCTAAGTGAGGTTTGATTTTTATTAAAGGCTACTACCCCTCCTCCCAATTTTCTTCGATTCGTACACTGAAATTAACCTTTATGGTTTTTTGTTTGTGTTTTGCAGGAACAATATCACTATGAATATACTGAATGTGACAGCACCGGATCTCGGTGGAGAGTCGCTGTACCCAATGAAGTGCAAACATGTAGTGGACTGCCCGATCCAGAAAAAGGAAAAGAGTGTAGTAAGTGCTAGATTTATTTTTATTTTTTATTTTACAAAATATTAACTAATGGTTCTGGTGCGTAAACATATCCTTTTTATAAGGTCAAATTATGGATATAAGTATGTATAGAAAAAACTGCTATTGCCGACAACAGCAAATTGCAATTACACTAATGATATCAATTAAACACAAACCATTTAAATATATTGCAGACCTTTAAAAAAACATTTAAAGGCTCTATGAAATCACAATAATCTCTTATTCGATCAATGGTCAAATAGGGTTTTTCCATTGTAGAGTCGCCCAATTTCGCCTTTTGTGTTTTTTATGTTTACATATGGCTGGTTATCCATTTGCATAACGCCAATGGATTGGTATATATGGGTTAAACTTTTCTAAATGCTAGCAATAGTACTGGGGAACTCACTGTGAATTGCATACCTAAATGTTCTGATGATAAACTAAGTATAATTTTGCAATAAGAGAATTATGGAGCATGGCTTTTGTATGAAAGTTTTCATAAAATAAATATTGAGTTAATGAAATAAAAAAAAGAATGGGAGGTTATCCAAAGGTTCTGAGAACTTGTAATGTTCTCCCCGGAATTTGAACGTTTGACATACTGAGTGTGGCCTCATTGGCCACTGTATTGCTCCTTCGAGGAATGTTAACTAAAAGCACTGTGGAATAAATTGGCGCTATATATATATATATATATATATATATATATATATATGCCAATAATCATAACAATAATTTGACAAAGGTTTAAATTGCGAGAGCTCTGTAAATATCCATTTCTGATTTAAAGGATTACAGGGTGCTTAGTGGAGTGCTAATATAATACCACAGGTTTCCCGTCACTTAATCTAGATGCATAAATCTCTATGTGTTCAGTAAATCATTAACAATGTGACTTGCCCCATAAAACATAAATTGACACCCTAGAAACCTGATCAGCCAAGCTTTTATTTATTGAGAGTTGTCTTCCTTATGAAAACGAAAGTTAATCATGAATTGCTTAAAAAAAGGAAAAGAAAAAAAACCCCACATGCTTTTTCCTATACATTACTTTCTGGGTTAGTTTTAAAGATTCCTCCATTCTAGATATCTCTTCACTGTTGTCAAGGCAATCTGCAGCAGATAGTATTATTTCTGTCTGTAGGAGGTCCTAGTAACTCACAAGCACTGAGTACCAGAAGGGATTCAATTCTGTCTGCTCCACTTGCAAGCTTAACTTATTAAATCAATTATCTCAAGCTAGACGCTGTCTCGTGACATTCGAGCAGGATGTCTAGATTAATGACATCACTGGCACCTACTTACATTAATGACCTTATCATAACATAGAGATATTTATTCATGCCGACATATGTTGGGAACATTGAAAAAAAGAATATAGGTTGCACTCTGTTTCACAGTGACTGTACAAATCTGTTTAACTCCTTTTGGATATCAGTGGTCCTTGAAGGGTTAAAGATCTTGACTATCCCAATAAGTTTATAATTTTTGTTACAGTTACATGTCTGTCTGTTACATGTTGGTACATGGATGTGGCTCACATATATGAACTGCAGTGCTAAGACAATTGTCTATATAGTAATGAAGAGCTTCATTTGTGTCAGGACCTATCAAGGTATTCTTGAACGTGTCCAACTGGGCATCTGCCTTTCCCAATCACTAGGATATCCGTAGCTACCCTTTAGAGTTAGTCAACCCCAGTAATTTATTATTTATAAAAGTGTTATACGCAGAAAAATAGGTCCTCATAGTGTCTTTCTTATAAGTGTGTGTCCAGCTAAGAATCAATAAAAAAATATAACATAAGTGGTGGTTATTTTGTGTACAATATCTAATGGACTATATTAATCATCTCTGACTTATAGATATAGATCAGAACAGACTTTACCTTAGTGATTGATCAGCCATTATATATTTTATTTTGGGATTATTTTTCTCTTCTAATATTGAGGGATTAAGTTGACTTTAAGCCATTTCTAACAGTCAATAGATCTTTTTTTCTATCCTCTATTGGAAAACAAATTTTGCTTCTATAATTCTTTTTCTTGTGAGATGTAGAAAATGTAGAATGTATATATTTCAGGGCTGTCCAACCTGCGGCCCCCCAGATGTTGCTGCAGTAAAACTCACATGATTCCCTGGCTATCTGTTTAATTGAAATAATCATGGGAGTTGTAGTGCAGCAACATCTGAGGGGCCGCAGGTTGGACAGGCCTGATATATTTGATTGCTTAACAAGTTTACTAAGGTTGGTTTCTAGTAACAATAATAGTAAACGTTTATTTTCCTTCAATGTAGCTTTTTCATGTGCTTCTGGAGAATTTTTGGATATTAAGACACAGCTGTGTAGTAAATGTGCAGCTGGAACCTACTCACTTGGAACTGGGATCAAGTTTGATGAATGGGACACGATACCACCTGGCTTTGCCAATGTTGCAACATTTATGGAGACTGCCACCGGCTATTCTGGAAGCACCTGTAATAAGTAAGTTCAGTCAGAATAATAACAATATTAAAGCTATTTAAATCATAACAAACAAAGACTACATTTCAGTCGCCAAGAGACTTGATAAAGGTTTAGTGGTGACTAAAACATTGACTTTGTAATAACATAGCTGTGCACATTGGCCTAGGTATATGGCAACTTAAAATGCTGGCACAGTACAAATTGTTAAGCACAGCACACATAAATAAATCAAACTAACTAACTAGGAGTAAATCTCATTTAACCACCATGCCAATCCTTCCCCAATAAATACAATTCAAAATAGTCCCCATTTAGTTTCTCAGGTGCAACATTCTCTTTTTCTATTGTTTCATGAAAAAGTATTTTTCTAAATACAAATGTTTTTGTACCAGTTGCATTTTAGAAATACATTAAACCTTCCTGTTCTTGATTCATTTCTGCACCAGCAATGGTAACAATTAACATAGATTTTACCAGATCCAGCATGAATTTTAATCAGCATGTGAAATTCATCCCGGCCCAGTAGCCGAGCCCAAACCACCTATCATACGTTTTTAAAAATGTACAATAAAGTGAATTCCTTACAGGAAATATACATGAATGACCTACTTTGGAATAACAGTGGTTTTGTTTTAGCAAAATATTTACAAAATTTAACAATTTGTATTGTCTAAATGCTAGTCGTATTGCATAAACTAGAAAAACAGTTTCTGTTAACTAAAGTTTTTTTTTGAAAAATGTATATCTTACATTTTTTAGTTCATTAAACATATTATGTATTATGTAAGGAAAGAATTATACCAGGGTATTGCTAGGGTAAAAAAAAAACCCAGGTGCTTTAGCCCGAAAATAGTTTTGTGACCCTGTCCAAAACCCGTACTCCTGGACCCAAACTCTAGTCTAGGTAAGCTCTCCTCCCCCACACGTTATGTTTCCGGATTAGACTTCTCACTCATTAGCACAGAAATCTGTTTATTTGCAAAACTAATATGTATGTGACCCCTTTCATAACCATCCTCAGCAAAGATGGACAGTCACATTTGATACACCTGCTTTACAGAGCGATATGAGTCTCTGCTGGCGGAGGGAGACTGGGAAATGCTTGTTAGCGTAACATGCAGAGCCTCAACTCAGTGACGATACTTCTTATGGGACCCATAACACTGAGACAGTACCTCACATACAACAGTAGACAAAGCAGTAAATGCATTGCTACCTGCATTAAATATAAATCAGACACAATAAAGTTATACCATAATAAGTAAATAGTAATAGTTCCACACTTTCTCAATTACTTTCCTCCCAAATAAACTGCATCCAGCAGTTCCCCTGTTGGAGGTGCACACAGGGTCTCTTGGTCAGCTGTAGGTAGCACTTCACGTATAGTACATTAACATAGTAATATACATTAAATGTTTCACTCCATGAAATCCTTCTGCAGTCTGGATCAGGTTTATTCCCTCCTGGCTTCAATTCCTCCTCCATTAACTATTCTACCAGGGCAGGGTAGATAAGACTAGCGCACATGGTGCTCTGGAACCTAACTAAACTGACACCTCAGAGGTTGGAATACATTAGCTTCTTGATCCCAGGTTAAGTCACCCTAATGTTACCTAAAGTTTTCAAGGAGAAGGCTGGAGCGCTGACAGTGCTTCCTTGACAGTTTAGTGGAGCACAGAGGAAGCTGCTTCTCTGTGTGATAGCACAGTAGGCCCAATCGGCTCCTCTCAGTGTCAAAGATCCCCCTCTCTCCAGGTCTTGTCAGCATTATGTCTTGTCTCCCACTAAAGCAACTCCCTGGGGGTGGATCCACTATTCACATGGGTGGAGATTGCTATCCTTCTCAGGAAAATATCACTTCAAGGGAGCCTTATTGGCTCTCATATCAGAGTTAACCTAATCTAGCCCCCATAATGCAATAGGGTTACATCCACATAGATCTCGTAATAAATACATTCATTAAAATGGAAATCTTACAGTATATTGGTAAATATGACCACTAAAATTTTACACATAAAGTGCTCCAAATAGGGCTAGACATGGTTGTGTTTCAACATCTCCAGCACAATGTATCCAACCACCACCTAATTTTTATACAATTAAGTAGTTGACACTAATATATCTTAGTTTCTGACTTTTAGGTGGCTGATTCAGTATTTGCTTTGTGCTCTTAGGAGACAGATGAGCATTTTAAATATCATTAATGTGCATGGATTTCAGTTTGCCTCAAGCTAAATCATGCAGTAACGATCCATAGTGTAAAATGAATCACAGCAACAATATTTTGTTTTACTGTGTTCGTAATTCCAGTGGAGATAAAAAAAAAATAGTAAAAAATATAGATATCTATATTTGTTTCATGGGGAATCTGGTTAAAATCATAACAAAAGAATACATATTCACTAAAATATGAAATATGAGCACCATAAAGTTACAGAAACAAGCTTTCAACATCTGATAAAATTTCTACCTTTTAGTCTCACTGCTACTTTTATAGATGAGATTGAAAGAGCACAAACATGGTTGTGTAAATATTAAGATAAACTTCTTATAAATGTCCTCTTTCTTGCTTTCAGCAGTAAACATTATTTGTCACCTTGCTGTGGGCTGCTTTCATGCTATTAGTTCTCAATGTGAAATGGTTTGAATACTTATTTTTTACCTTCTGTCTGCTCAGTTCATCGTGGACTCCTCGGGGAAATTACATTGAGTCAAACAGAGATGATTGTACCGTGTCCCTCATCTACTCTGTTCATCTGAAGAAAGCTGGCTCGGTGACATTCGACTATCAGTACCTTGATAATAACATCTTTTTTGAATTTTTTGTAAGGCTCTCTTTCTATTTTCAGTTTTTATTTTTAAGAGTATACTTTTATATCTTTCTCAGATTTAATTCTGATTACACATCTCTTTGTATTGTGAAAATTGAAAACATAGAAAACTACGTTATTTTATATAAATTGTTCCTAGGTACAATATCACACACTATTTAGAACATCTTTCTGCAAATAAAACAAATTACAGTTGCATAGCTCATATTCACAAGGTTAAGCAAACTTTATATGTTTTTCCCTTCCACCAAGGAGACCAGATGGAAAGTCTTAATGATATGCCAAACGAAACAATGAGGGATGTGAAGTAGACAGGTTGTCATTTGATCTTATTGAACACCAGATTCTCTTGGAAGCATACACTATTGTAGGTTACATTAGACATACTGTGGTGGCCGTTTTAAAGGATATGTACTAGCTAACGCCTTTATGATTGACTGCAAACTTGTTTGAGGTTCCTGAACTCAATAAACTATTCTATTTAAAGGAACACACCAAGCACCATAACCACTACAGCATGGTCTGGTACCAGGAGTGCTTTAGTACCCTCCCAGTGTAAGTAGTCTAATCATTGGCTAACAGTTTGCCTTCTTAACTGGGGTCTGCTAGGCACAGCTTCTCGCCTTTCTGCAGCTGTAAGTGAGAGCCGGATCCTGAGCTAAGTCTTGCACCGCCGGGACTTGCTCAGTGAAGAGAGCTTCTGATTCTCTTAGAGGCAGGGGTAACGCTAGTCAAACACTGGGTTACAAGTCAAATCATTTGCAAACTACTTTGGAGGAGGCGCCAGGGCACTCCTGACATTATAATCACTACATCACGTACCATGGGCTTTATTCTTAGTAAATCACAACAGTGGTAACCTTTAAAATGCTTACATTGATCGCAAATCCGAAAGGGTGATTTTTGCACAGACCAATATCTTAATAAAAGTTAGCTGTTGGTTGTGTTCTTTTTTTTCTTTTTTATATTCATTCTCCACAGAGAGTATATATATATATATATATATATATATTTATATATACATTAAACATACTATATAATTATTTTAACACCTGTAGTGCTGTATTTGTGAAGATATGCAGAATAAATAACAATTCAGGCACTCTGGGATAACAGAAAATAGCAGCTTCATTGGTGCAAAAACAGCAACGTTTCGACCCTGCAGGGTATTTATCAGTATGTGTAGTATATATGGCATGTATGATACAACTCAACAAATTTGCTTGCATGGCAACTCTGCAGATTACTGAGAATGCATCTTTTAGGTATCATGGGACATTAATGCGGATTTGATCAGCTTGATTATATTTACAGATTAAAACTCTGCCTTTCCTAACATGTTATCCATATTCTGTTTGTTCTGTGGTTTTGATGATTCATAAATGTATTTGTTGCTTGTCCACTGCAGGTTCAAAATGATCAGTGTCAAGAAACCTTATCGTCGTCGGACAAATGGGTTAAACTATCCGACAACAGTGACTGGATGCATCACTCGGTACATTACACTTCCTTTCTTTTCTTATGTTTTTCTCCAGATACATTTTTGAACTTTTTGCAAAGATCTAAAAGTATTCACAAGTAATTATACATTTGATGGCTTCCTAGAACTGATTACTTTTCAGACATTGCCATCACTTATACACATTGGTGATCAGTCCAATTATATATTTTTTATTAATCCACATAAACTGTCTATAAGTTAAATGATTACACAGAAATTTAAGATAAATATGTAAACAAATAATAAAACAAAAGTAAAACAAACCTGAAATATAAAAATTAACTTTAACAAGATTTTGTTAGACTCAGTGTAGTAGGCAATTAATGCTACAGTTATTTATTTATTTTTTTCACAACTCCATAACCTCTGTTAGACTTTGCTCATTAATTTTCTGAAAATCTAAAATATATAAAAATAACAAATGTCAATTGGGATCTAAAAAAATGGCATATATTTTATTATATAAAAGTAAAAAGTATATGTAGTTATCTATAGCATACTCAGTACACACATTACACATTACCTAAAATATATGTGAAATATAAATGACAAACAAAGTGATTTACACAGGTTTCATTCTCTTTTAACCGCATTTCAAAGGCAACAAAAAAGGGTGAGGGTGGCCTTGACACTTTAACTTGCGTCTTAACATTTCTCACTTATTTAAATATCATTTATTGGCGATATATTGCCACACCTTGGATTGAATTCTAGAATGTAAAACATAACTGCTTCCTAGAGCAACAATTCTGTCAAACTATGTGACACGTTCCCTTTGCTCAAAATTCCTCTTTTTTCTTAATTACAAAGTTATATGCAACTGGTTTTATATCGCCTACAAGATAATGGAACATTTACTCTTTTGTTTTTGAAACTGTTGTTGGAAAGAGATTTCTGGGCGCAAGTTTAACCTTATATTACCTCTCTATGACACTTCCCAGTGCCACCGTCTCTGGAACTGTCCATGTTATGGTATTTTTTCTTGCATTACTCCAAAATATTCTAGATTTATCCAAATGGTTCAGGTGGCTGCCAGAAAGACCATCCTCCATACCTAGATATCTCATGATAAACTGGATTCTAAACAATGGCATATATTTTATTATTTAACAACATCTCCAGCACAATGTAGCCAACCACCACCTCATTTTTATACAATTAAGTAGTTGACACTAATATATCTTAGTTTCTGACTTTTAGGTGGCTGATTCACTATTTGCTTTGTGCTCTTAGGAGACAGATGAGCATTTTAAATATCATTGATGCGCACAGATTTCAGTTTGCGATCCATAGTGTAAAATGAATCACAGCAACAATATTAAACCAATATTTTTGTTACTATGTTTGTAATTCCAGTGGAGATAAAACAAAATAGTAAAACATATAGATATCTATATTTATTTCATGGCGAATCTGGTTAGAATCATACCAAAAGAATACATATTCACTGCAACACTGGGACACTACAACTAGGCTTATATATCACATTGGCCACATGAGCCACAGATAGTGGTGTAAAAATACATAGGGATGTGGAAAGAGCGCAGGTAACTTTTTTTTTTCTTTGGTTTTTTCTATATGTATTTTGGCTGATGTGTACTATAGTCATTGCTGCCGCCCAGGAGTAATGGGAGTTGGAGTGCAGGACTAGTTCTTTAGATAGTGGTGCTGTTAACCCCACATAGACGAGTGGACCACACTCTCATTTTCTTAATCCACACCTCTCATTATTACCTATCAGTCCATTATAATAAAAATGTGAGAATTGTTACTCCACGATGCCATGTGTTACTTATGATATGTTCTTATGTAACGTGTTATTGCTGTCGTGGCCATATTACTTATTCGTTCGAAAAATAAAGATTTATAGAAAAAAAAAAAAGGGGAGGGGGGTTAAAAAAATACTAAGCAGAAGCAATTTAATGCAAAAGCTCTGGCAGTCCAAATACACCTATGTAATGCAATTTGATTAAATGAGACCACACAATGCAAGGATGTAGGGTTTCTCAGTAGTTTTTTATTTTATGTCTTTTATTTTTGACTACCTACATCCATTCTCTAAATGGGTAAACAAAAAAGGAACATTAAAATAAATCTTCTCATATTTAATAGCTAATATAATAATATTATATATATTTTTTTTTTTCTTGCATCTCCTCTTTTTCTCTCTATTAGTTACTTTTTCTCATTTGATCTGTGAACTAAATATTTGCAGTATACTGCAAATATTTACATAATATTATGTAATGCATATATCTAGCAGTACACAGACTGGACCATTTTCGTGCCCCTTTGGTTTGTCTGATTCTTTTTCCTAAATCTTTTTTCATTAATGATTTTTAATGAGCTGAACCACCATAGCATATTTTTGGACGTAGGGTTTCAGACTTGACACATTTTTGTGATCATAAACAAGTCTGCTATACATACAGACAATGGGGAAAAAAGCACAACAATATGCCGAATGTTACTTAAAGGACCACTATAGTGCCAGGAAAACATACTCGTTTTCCTGGCGCTATAGTGCCCTGAGGGTGCCCCCACCCTCAGGGTCCCCCTCCCGCCCGGCTCTGGAAAGGGGAAAGGGGTTTAAACTTACCTTTTTTCCAGCGCTGGGCGGAGAGCTCTCCTCCTCCGATCCTCCTCTTCTCCTCCCCGTCTGCTGAATGCGCACGCGCAGCAAGAGCTGCGCGCGCATTCAGCCAGTCACATAGGAAAGCATTCATAATGCTTTCCTATGGACGCTGGCGTGCTCTCACTGTGAAAATCACAGTGAGAAGCACGCAAGCGCCTCTAGTGGCTGTCAATGAGACAGCCACTAGAGGAATAGGGGGAAGGCTTAACCCATTCATAAACATAGCAGTTTCTCTGAAACTGCTATGTTTATGAAAAAATGGGTTAACCCTAGCTGGACCAGGCACCCAGACCACCTCATTAAGCTGAAGTGGTCTGGGTGCCAAGAGTGGTCCTTTAACCAGTGCTGGTGGAATGAAGCTCCAATACATCAGAACAAATTGTGCTAATGGTAGGAAAGAGCAGGTTCTAACATTCTAAAAATAACAAACTGATGCAGCAGGCATTCAGAATACGAACACCTGTGATGGAACATAGAAACAAACAGAACTGCACACTGACAGTGTCTTTAGATGTAGCAGCAAGGCATCAATATGTTTTGATGTTTTTGTTTAATATCTTTATAAAGACAGGGAAAGTGCAGAAAATCATTTAACAATGCTATAAACTAATGCTAACAGTAAATAGGTTTAACAAATGGGGTCAACAAGTTATGGAAAATTCCCTATGCTGCATTTGAAAAAAGCTGGTGATGTTTTACCTAATTGGAGAGAGTGGCTGGAAAAGTCACATCCTCCAGAATAGGCTCCTTCACCCTGAAGACTTCCAAAGAATACCCTGCTATGTATTGAAAGCATGGCCAGATTAAGAGCCCAGTGGGTCTGGTGCTGACAAGTATGACGGGCCTAATTACAAAATCATATCGACCAAAAACAGTAAAACACTCCCAAGCGTCATGTATCTGATGGAGATGGTGCTGGAGAGAAAGAAAACAGCAGCTATAAGAAAACACATACTCTAGGCTAATCTCTCACTAATTTATGTTTTCATCTTTCAAGTAAATCCATAACCCCTAACAGAAGTGTCCAGTCAAGCAGGAAGTCAATGGGCATGGTAAAAGGGTGTGCCACTGACACAAATCACATAACCTGCCAAAAGGGGCGAACATGCCCAAAAAGAGGACATGTCTGCTCAAAGAATTAGAAGGCTAGCCTGGCATGAATGCATGTCAGGCTGCCTCCAATCATGCAGCTGGCAAACTAAGGGCATACTATGCAGACAGCACCCTGAGCTTGGCATAAATGCATCTAATGATGCGCTCACTCAACGCTTTCTAAGCACTGTCCCCTAGCACTCGCTAGTCCACTTGTCTCCTTACCTTCCTACTAGCAGGCAGAAGCTCCTGGTACATGGTCTGGGACAGAGAAAAGCTGTATGTAGTGAGTGTAGAAGAAAGGGAACATGCCACAGTGCTAGAGAGACCAAAGTCAGCATTACCTTAAAGGATAACTATAGGGTCAGGAACACAACATGAATTCCTGACCCTATAGTGTTAACACCACCATCTAGCCCCCCTGGACCTCTCATACCTCCATAAATATAGCAAAATCTTACTATATTCAAGCCTGAAGCTGTAACTCTGCATGCTGTTAGACTCATAAAAACAAGCAGTCTGCTGACATCATTAGAAGTGGTGGCCTGATCCAATCACAGTGCTTCCCTATAGGATTGGCTGAGACTGACAAAGAGGCAGATCAGGGGCAGAGCCAGCATGATTCAAACACAGCCCTGGCCAATCATCATCTCCTTATATAGATTAATTTAATTAATGAATCTCTATGAGGAAAGTTCGGTGTCTGCATGCAGACGAAGGAGACACTGAATGTTTGGATGCATTTTAGGCAGCCATGACCCAGGAAGGATCTCTAACAGTCATCTAAGGAATGGCCAGTGAAGTTATCACTAGGATGTAATGTAAAGACTGCATTTTCTCTGAAAAGACAGTGTTTACAGCAAAAAGCCTGACGGTAACGATTCTACTCACCAGAACAAATTCAATAAGCTGTAGTTGTTCTGGTGACTATAGTGTCCCTTTAACTATATTCATTGTCAGCCAGTCCACACAAGTTTTGTTCCCATACATCCCACTTAAGTTTCCATACTTAAGTAAGGATATGTGAAAAGTAGTTAGGGTTGCCACCTTTCTTGGAAAAACATACCGGCCTTACTAATTTGCATAATAAAATATGTATGGATGACATCACATGATGTAAATCACAAGGAGTGACATAAGAGAAAATGCTGTAAAATCACCCAAAACTACTTAGTTTGATTCTGCTGTATAGATGGATTCCTCCCAGTGCCCCCATGTCTCCCAGTGCCCTCATGACTCAGTGCCCCCATGTGTCGATTACTCCAGGTCTCAGTGTTCCTATGTATCAGTGTTTCAGTGCCCCAGGGGACACTTGAAGACATGGGGACACAGACACCAGGGACACAGACACTAGAGACACTGGCTGGGAGACATGGGGACATTGAGACATGGGGACACAGAGACACCGGGGCCACAGACACTAGGGACACTAGCTTGGAGACATGGGGACATTGGGACACTTGAGGCAATGAGAGACATGGAAGCACTAGGAGACATGGGGACAGTGAGACACTGGCTGACTGGGGGCACTGGGAGACTAGGGGTCACTGGCTGGGAGACATGGGGACACTGTGTCCCCATGTGTCTGTGTCATAATATCTCCCAGTGTCCCTTAGTGTCTCAGTGTATGTCTCCTTGCAGCCTTTCCCCCCATCCCTTACTTCCCTGAGCTGTAGGCTGTCTCTGCAGGGTGGGAATTGCTGTCTGGACTCTCTGTAGCTGCACCCCTGCAGATCAGTGAGTATAGATATTCAGGGAGGGATATGCTGGAACTTCCTATCCCTGCCTGTCTCCACACACAGCGACCCCTACTGGCCAGTGCTGGTATTGCATAGTAATCTCTTGTTTATACTGATAAAAATACCAGCATTTGTATTGCCAGTATCGCTGCAATATTGGCACCTGCCAGGCAGCCTCAAATACTGGCTGTGCCAATAAAATAACAGCCAGGTGGAATCCCTAAGAGTAGTGTGTGGAAAAAAAAAATTTAAAAAAAAAATTACATTTTTTTTTTTTTTTTTAAATCAATGGGCCTATTCCATGGGCCTGGTCCTGGGACTAGAGCTGCAGCTCCATCAGCCCCTATGTTAATCCGGCCCTGATTGAAAGGTAGTTTTAAATTTAGCATGCAATATACCAGGTACAAGAGAAAGGAATGGATGCCAGTTGTCAAAGTAGTGCTTGATAAATGTATCCTTTAAGTTTTGACTTTTTTAAGGCATTAGCTGAAGCTCAACAACAGCCATAGGAACGACCTGTTTAGACATCTGTGGATTTTAAATCAAATTTAAATATGCGATTATAACATTGACAATGCAGACAATGTATTATTTTTATATTCTTATAGGAAAGAGTATCAGGGAAGAAGTGAAATTAAAATATAATTAGTGCTTGTTATTGTAATTGCAGGTATCTTTGAAATCAGGAACAAACATCTTGTATTGGAGAACGACAGGCATTCTGATGGGCTCCAAGGTGGTTAAACCTGTCTTGATAAAAAACATCACGATAGAAGGTATGGAAGGAAGAAAAGCACAATTCCTGAGCATTTTCTGAGTTAGCTGGGTTCATTTTGATAGGCTGTAATAAGCTTGCTCAGTACATTTTGTGAATATCGTCAGAATTTTTCCTCCAAAGTACTCAGATATTTATGTAAATTATGGAATAAAATACAACCAAAGTAAACATTTTGGAATTCAACGTGAATTTTAAATATAAGGCAAAAATGGCTTGAATTACAATGGATTTGGAAATGTTTTATTAATTTTTTCTTCTAATTCAGCTGTTCTACCCTTATTCACTGGGCAGAATTTTTTTTTAAATTTCCAGCCATTCTCACTTACGTGAATAACAATATTTTTGTTCTCCATTAAAGAAATCCCTTTTATAATGAGACAATATTCTACCCATTGCTGTGCAACATTTTGAGATGTTCAATAAAGAGTAGCAATATTTAGTGATGGATTATCTGTAAAATCTGCTTAGCTGCCAGTTTATAAATATCAGTATGGCATAACTGGACTATGTGTGAGAAGAAATGTTGCTATAACACTATGGACTATCCAACATCTAGTTATTTACACATCATATGGTAAGCAACCAGATTGCAGCATCTATTGTAACACAGCTTTAAAAAAAAAAATCCAACTTTTTTATTTTTGTAATTACTTATTATTTTATAATGATATAATGTAATAATATATTATTGTGATTATTCATTTTAAATTTTAAATGTGTTTTCTCTTACAGGGGTTGCATATACATCAGAGTGTTTTCCATGCAAACCTGGTACCTACAGTGGTGAACCAGGATCCTCCCTTTGCAAGATATGTCCCAGGAACACTTATTCAGATAGGGAAGCCAAAACATGCACGGAATGCAATAAGGACACTGAATACTCAGGTGAACAATGTGGTCTTAGTGAGAGATTTTCTATATTATGTAACTGTCTACTTGTGTAGTTGGGAGACCTTTCATGATAGAGATTAGGCATCTTTACACATAAACATGTCTTTCATTTTTTTTAATAACAAATGTTATCCTCGTGACAGTTTAAATTCTCAGATGGTCACTGTGTTGAGTTGTCCATGCAGAAAATAGTTTTATATGGTCATTATTGGATGAATAAATCAGATCAATGCTACACACTTGACAGGTTTCCCGAAAATATATGATAGTGACAGATTTATAGTAAAGATTTAAAAATAATATTTAAACTAAAAAATACAGATAACTAGAGCTGTGGGGGAAAATACTTTGGGTGATGACTTTAATCTTTTTTTAAATATATATTTAAGTTCTAATGCCCTGGACACCACTAACTAAATCCATGTCAATTATAATAAAAATTACCTTGAATCCAGTGCCAGGCAAAGCTTGCCTCAAGAGTTTTTACGCCCAGTCCTGGCGTCATGCCACATCACTCCTTTCTCCTGCAAAGGCTTTTAGCAGAGAAGCATTTGATTGGACCTTTTTTGATTGCTCACTGTGCATGCATGTGCTCAGAGGGATTAAGAATATTTAAAAAGTGAATAGCTGTAACTGTAGGGAGACAGGGAAAGCAGTGCACATTGCACTCTGATGACAGATATAATTTTTGCACAGAATTAACATTTAATCACGTGTCAGGGGTACAATTAGCACCTGGCACGAAAGTGCAAATATCTCTGTATGTACGGCATTATAAGTAGAAGTGGTTCTAAAAATTCGATTAACCCGACACACAGCATGAGATCTGAATTTATTAATTCAGTATAATAGATAATGCATTTAAAAAATATGCAAAAAATGTAAAAATAAATTACAATAATGAATACAAACAAAGCACCCTAAGAGATTGTGGAGCTGCTGCAGTTGCACAGGTTCCCCCCAGGGCCGGACTGGCCCACCGGGATACCGGGAAATTTCCCGGTGGGCCGCGGCACCTGGGGCCGGTCTGACAGCCCTGATCCCGGCCGGCTATGTGTGAGCTGTGCGGCCGCACAGAGCCCCATGGGAGCAGGGGGAGTAAGGCGGCCGTCACAGCTCACACATGGCCGGCGGGATCATAAAAAATAAATTAAAAAAATTTGCAGCGGGGGCGGGGCTTAGCGTGCGGCGGGGGCGGGGCTTACTGTGCGGCGGCCTGGCTGACTGCAGCATGGGAAGCAGGAAGGAGTCCCTGCTTCCCTCAGCATCTCCCTATCCAGGAAGAGAGGTGTTAAAACATTAATATAATCTGCTAGATTAATTGTGGCCTGATCTGATTTTGGATTAAATAAAAAAAAGATTTAGTTAGTTTGCACAGCACAAATGGATTTTCATAAATCAGGAGATTAGCCTTAGAAAACTAAGAAATAGATACTTTATGCCAGCCTACTGCAGTGCACCTGTTTTGAATAACTGTCTAAAGAAAATATAGAATATACAAGTATAAAACCTGCTAGGTAGCTTATGTTTTTAGCTTTAAAGGGACACTGTAGGCACCAGAACCACTACAGCTTAAAGAGCACTCTAGACACTATAACATTTCATCTTATTGAAATGTTTCTAGGGGCTGGAGTCCCAATGGTACGGTCCCTTTGTTTAGTGTTAAAAAAACATTTTAAGCAATTTAATACTGAATGAGGATCCCTGGTTTACCATAGCTCTACCCCCACTGAAAGTTACACACTTCCTCGAGATTACACAATTCCTTGTAGTTATACCCGCATTGGCTCTCAGCCAGTCACAACCACCTATTGCTGCTCAGACTAATGCTTCCTCCAAGCAGCATAGAGGAGATAAGCTGCTAGGGACTCTTGTCTAGTTTCAAAATAATAATAATGGTTTAACGCTCAATGGAAGAACAGCGCCAGGGGACTACAGAGATTATAACCATGTTAATGAGATGAAGCAGTTATGGTGCCTTTTTTAAGTGATTCTGGGCAAAAAGCCTGTCCATGCAGTCTACGCAGTGTAAACACTGTATTTTCTGATAAAAAGGCATTGTTTACATTGCTGACTAACGCCACTAGAGAGACATTCTCATTGAGTTCCTGCAAGGATTGCAGGAGTGACCCTCAGTATCTCCACGCTCTGAATGAAGACACCAAATGCTCCTCACAGAGGTATACTAAGTCAATGCATATCTATGAGTAGATGATGATTGGCACAGCAGAATGACTGGCAAGCATGTGGACTTGCTTCTTAATACTTCCCTCTGGGGAGGAATTAGGTTAGCTGAGATCATCAAGACTGATGATCTCAGTCAGCGTTGGCGTGACAACTATATTAGACTGGCTTACTGCGAGGAATAAGGTAACCAAAAAACTTTACTTTGCTTAATTAAGGGGGCCCAGTAATCTAAATAGTTATAATAACAATCCAGCATTAGAATTACAAACATATATTCCTAACACTAGAGTGTACCTCTAATTATTCATTTCTTCCATCAGGTATAGCAAATTAAATTGATGGGGCTGTGAGTGGTATAGTCAATGAAATTGATGGTGCTATTAAAACCCCATGATCTTAAAATATCTCTGATCTCTGATATTTTAAGATCATGAAGGCAGCACAATTGTATAGAAGAATATGTTACCAATAATATGCTTAATAATTTTGCTTGCTTTGTTTCAGATGAAGGGTCCAGTAAATGTATTGCTCGTCCCCCTTGTACAAACAAGGATTTTTTCCAAACACATACACAGTGTGACAGCGAAGGAAAGGTAGCTAACAGCTCCATGCATTTTTAAAAATTTGTTTTTTTATTTACCATTTTAAAGGCTATTAGACATGACGTGGCATGATAGTTAACCTTCGTGTGTATGTTTTCTATTGTTTAAATGCAGATATATTCTGACATGCCCATTTAAATCAGTTTGAAGGAACACTTCAAGCACCATAATCACTACAGGGTGCTGTAATGGTTATGGTGCCAAAACATCCCTGGTACCCCCTCCAATTGTAATTAGTCAAGCATTACCGCCACTATATAAGTACATCCAGCTATGTAAGAGTTAACAGTAAGGATTTATAAAATATATGCAGTGTTAATAAGTCCACCATAAAATAGCAAATAGAATTATATAAGTATGAGTGTGCTGTGGAAAAGATAATTTAAGTTATATAAGTAAGAAAATGATTCAGGATAAACTAACAAGCTGTCTGTCTGTGCTAAGTCCATCTGATGCTCTCAGGTAATGAGCCTCTGGCATCTGGTTCTCCATCTTAAGTGGTCGAGGTGGAAATTGGCACACGGCAGACCAAAGGTAAGAAATCAAACAGGGGAGGGGCGCTGTGGTACCAGGGCACTTCTGACACCATAGCCACTACAACACACTGTAGTGGTGATGGAACATGGAGTTTTCCTTTAGGAACTCAAATTGAACGTAAGGCACTGCACCCACTTAGCATCTCAAGACAGGTCCAGGGGCATTTTGCATTGTCCTTGCCTTGGTATCTTGTGGGTTTGCATCATTTTGTTTCAATAGGATAATTTTTTTTGCCCAAAATAGTTGGTGTGTTGTTCCCCATGTGTCATATATTAATATTTGAAATGATACATAATTGGATTATAAAGCATTCTTAGTATTCATTCTTTAATTTATGAATCCATGCAGATTAAATTATGATTATTTTAACAGTGACTCACATTGTTGTGATTTTTTTTATGTAGACTCAGATTTTATACAAATGGATAGAACCAAAGATTTGCAGAGATGATCTTCCTAATGCAATCAAGCTTCCAGCATCTGGGACCAAGGAAGATTGTCCACCTTGCAATCCTGGATTTTACAGCAATGGAACAAATGGCTGTTTTCCCTGTCCTGCAGGAACCATTTCCGATGGAATGCAGGGTATGACATTTTGGAATGATAAAATTAAACAGAATATTTAGAATTTCACTGCTGAGATATAAAATAATACACAGTTACATTCATCAGTAATTGCGTTGGAGCCTTTGGACATACAGGAATTAACACTCAATTTAAATAGACCCATGAAAACAACTAGGGTCATTTAATAAAGTGAGAATTCAAAGTCAAGTCCAAATTCAAGGCCAGAGTAGCCCAACTAAAAGCATAGCTGAATTTCTCCAGTTTGCTTATTTTACCTAATTTAAAATATACATTGAATTTTCATTTTAGTAAATAATCCTGAATTGACCCAAAAGTTCTCACAATGGAGATCTTATTGTTACCTATTTCATTTAATATTACGAGGTTTATTCTATAATATAATAATTGTAGTGAATTGTAATCTTAATGTCAACGTGTGGGCCAAAATAGCTGATTTAAAGAAATTGTCTGTCTTGGCTAAAGCCACAACTTGGCTGTTTAACTTAATTTTTTCCATTCAGATATTAATTTGTTACTATTTATTGTATAAACCACTTAGACCTTCCCCGAATATCCAATTTGTCTTCTGTCAGGGTCTGGAGTGTTTTTAAATTAAAGTTCTGCAGCGAACTTACTTTTTTATGTAGAAATAAATGAATTTGTTTGAAAATGAATATGTTAAAAATACCTGTATGAACCTACAAGTGCACTATTTTATTCCCCCTGCAGAGTGTAAACCGTGCCCTGCTGGAACAGAACCTATTGTAGGATTTGAATACAAGTGGTGGAACATCCTACCTGCAAATATGAAGACTTCCTGCTTTAATGTTGGAAATTCCAAATGTGATGGAATGAATGGTGAGCCTGTATTCAAATCTGTATTCAAAGTATTAGCTTTGAACCATTGGTTTTTTTTTAAAAATGGTCCAACCTAATTAATGGTTCCTAATGACCACAGACAGTAATTATGGTTACTTGGCTAAAACCAGGCATCTGGAAGCCTGCAGGAACACACAATCCGTCACCTCCTTCTTTTTAATTATCTGTTGCATAGGATTTGCAGTAAAGGAATTGGGCAGGTATTTTACAGATCATCTGCATGATACAGAGTGAGCCAGTGGAGTCCCATGAAGAATTTTTTTCTCCACGGTGAAGACTGATGCTGAATGGTTCTCATGATACCATGGTTTGAATTGACCTTGGTTTTATGTTCCTATATGAACCTAGAAGTCACAACTTAGAACTATGAGAAAATATTAGTGATAGTACTTAGATTTTTCACTGTGTAATTCAGTTCTAATAAAATAGTTCTAAAAAGTTTGTATTAAGGGAGATTTACAAAAGTGTAATTATAAAAAGTAGTGATATTGGTACTGACTTACGTACTGATTTGTGTGCAACGTGAATACACCAAGTGAAACTGCTCCAAAATAGACAATCTATCAAATTAGACCTCTCTATACACCTATACTTTAGGTACTATTGGTAGTTTTCTATTGCTTATGCTGTTAGCATAATTTAGTTTGTATTAGCGGATTCTAACTTTTGGAAATGTTCTTGCACCATTACCATTGCCATATGTTACAGGGGTTTTGACACTTACAGTTATTCACTAAAATGTGAATACAAATTGATTTCTATGTGAATTTTAACTTTAATGTCAATATAGCCAAATTATAAAAATTATCTAAGCTAGCTATGCTTTCAGTTCGGCTACCCTGGCCATAAATTTGAATTCATACTGAATTTCTTCCTTTAGTAAATAACCCGTTTGGTGTTCCATTAGGTTGCTCAATGTCTCCCTCTGCTGGACATATTGTAAATTCACGCAGGACGTACTTTTATTGCTTCCAATAATTGAATAATAATTGTAACCATAGGCTTATTGTATTTGGCCTTGAACCATATGCATAAATAAAGATGTCCGAATAAACTTTAAATATGTTAGGAAAATTGTGTAGAACTTCCAGCTTTCTTACCATGCTCACATTTGGCGTTGACTCCATGTTTGTCAAATGGAATTTTTATATTTTACTTATTTTGCATGAAATCAAAAGTCTTATATTCTAGACTTATGTATCCAGTTTATAACCAATTGTGATTTGTTAAAATTTTGGCCGATCAGACGGTCTTTCGAATTCCCGAACACTGACCGATGCACTAAATAAGTGAAATGGACTATGAAAGAGCCACTTCAGTTGTTTTGTGATTTGAAATTCAGCCCTGGATGGTTGATGTTAAAGATATAAAATAAATAAATACATAAATAATAAAGAAAGAAACAAGGCTGAACCAGATGCTTAACATATGTTCAGAAGTAACTGAACTAAAAGCTCAAAATCCGAATGTGAATTCAATTTGAATGGTAAAATACCATTCGATACGGTCAGTCAGAATTCAGTTGACCGAATTCTGAATGGAATTAACGTCACTAAAAGGTGAAGTATAGTGATAGGCTCATATTCGCACACTTTTGGTCACAAAACATTTGCATGTTGGAAATTCAGATGAGCCACAAAATTCTGTAGTCCAATCCAATTTTTTTTCCGGCTGAATTTATTCAGCCAAACCTAGTTTTTCCTGCTGTGTATAAGTTTACTTTATTCACATTTACAACAATTTGTTCGGTTTTCTCACAAATGTCAATGCTGTTATTTTATTTTGGTGGAACAAATGGAATGGAACACGAGTCAAGCTAAACAAGTGTTGATTTAAATTTATAATTTTTATCAATACATTTGGAAGGTATTGCTGTATATACTAACTTGGCATGTAACCCCTTCAAACAATGTAAGAGAGAAGGAAGAATGTGTTCCTTAGTAAGTTGCTTTTTAGGTGTGGAAAGTCCTAAAATTATAGCTGCAAGATTACACACAATGGAATTTTGTTTTTTAATATTAATGGTTTCAAATTACCGTAATCATTTACAAATGTTTTCTCAAATGAAACAAAAAATTCCCCTATTTGAATTCTTTCATTGCCATAATGTTGTGTAAATGTCAGGTATATATCAGAAATAGAAAACCAAAGACAAATATTGGGATGCGGCTGGATTAATCTAAGGCAAGGGGAAAATAAACTAAATATAGTGCAATACAGTAAATACAATGTATTATTCGCCACATGAAATGTACTCACAAGATGATGACGAATACAGCACTCATAAGGTGCCTCCCCCAAAGTAGTTGCGGGGCTAGTGATCCCACTCTCCACTCCACAAACAGTAGATGAAGATACAGGACTCCAAATAGATGAAGGTAAAAGGATAATTTATTATAAAAAGGTGAACAATCACCATAAGCATAGGGTTAAATATAAAAGGAAGGTCGGTCCTATGCGTTTCTTTCTTGGGAGAACTTTCTCAGGGACTACAATGCCATAAAAAATGTAAACAATCAAAAATGATAAAAATACATCCCTCAGGATGCCATAAAAAATTTATATAATCACAAATGATAAAAATACATCCCTCAGTATGTATCAGAATTTTTTTTATTTTTTATTTATTTTAATCATTGCATTGTATGATTTTGCATGCATTGCAAAATCCTACAAGACCTTTTAGATTTGTTTATCATGAAGAAAAGTATTTGTATTCTTTGCAGTATGATCATTTTAAAGGGGAAATTTCACTTTCCAGAAGTTTTTCAATTGTTTGTTAAACCCTATATTTAACCAGCCATGTGAGATATGAGGAATACATTTAAAGGTAGAATCCACAACTCTTTATCCTTTAACTTAGTGCCTCTGTCTTAGCTTAGCATTTAAGGAGATATGTTCTTTGCATCTAGCAGTCAGGGAGAGGCTCTGAAATATATGTTTATTTCTGTATTGATCACTAGTGATGAAGACTGATGTTTTACCTTTTGTAAAAATATTGATTGCATTAATGTTAAACTGCACAAACAATTAACTAGCATACTATACATACCATATATATCATGCAGCAATCCAGAGTCATACATTATCATCTGCCTAATATGACTTGCTGAATCTATTCCATTCCATGCTGCTCTGCCCAATTTATATTTTACCTTAATATAAGTTTTACCTATTAACCGTCTATTTACATTTATAATCCTTAGGTTGGGAAGTTGCCGGAGATCATGTTCAGAGTGGATCAGGTGGCTCGGACAATGACTATTTACTGCTTAATTTACACATTTCAGGATTCAAGTGAGTGAAACCACAGGTGTTCTAAATATGCAGGAAATTGCATCAAACTGTTGGATTGGAGGAGCCACATGACAGAAATGTAACTTAAATATTATTATTATTATGATATTTATAGAGCGCCGTCAAATTCCGCAGCTCTTTACAATGGGTGGACGAACAGACATGTAGTTGTAACCCGACAAGTTGGACACATAGGAACAGAGGGGTTGAGGGCCCTGCTCAATGAGCTTACATGCTAGAGGGAGTGGGGTAAAATGACATATGTCAATAACTATTTTTTTTTTTATTGAAACTTTACAATATTACCAATGTTGGCCTGTAGAACAGATTAAAACATCTGCAGCCCTTTCTCAGTGGTTCATACCTTGTACAACATAAATCAGTTTGTAGTGCAACCTATTGGAGATGATTACTAAATAATATTAAAAAATAGTTACAGTTAGCCATACTGAAGGAATTGCTATGTCTTGTCAGCAGTGCAGATCAGGGCTATTAACATCTATATATCATATAAAATTCCACTTTGTGATGGCTTGTTTTCAACCACTTTAATTGGATTGCAACACAGGACATAGTAGCTCAATGGCCATATATTTACAGTTAAATGTTTTCAAAGTAAAAATGTGAATTTTATGCATTAGCTTTGAATTACGTATGATCACTCAAGTATGTTTTGTATAATATATGGAATATTTAATGACCAGTGTAATTTTATTAACAAAGTTAACACAAGAATACCAAAGCAGACTGTACTTTGTTTTATAACTATATATGCTTCTAACAGCTCCACCTACTGTTTAATGTGCTAAACACACACATGAATAGAGATAGCTGCAGTAACAAGCAGGGCATACCTAAGCTGCAATGTTGAAAAAGGCCAAGTGATAATGGTGGTGACACTGCACAGAACTAGCAATAGCTGCTGTTATAAGGTTTTACAATTAATCAGACAAGGATGAATATTCAGTACATGAATGATAAATTCTAAAGATGATCAGAGGTCAGAGGTCATGATATACATTCACAGCTAATGTCACTTGAATTTTAATGCCACTTGGATTGTCATCTTTGTTTTGTTTTATGAATTACAGACCTCCTACCTCTGTAACTGGATCAGATGGGGAGCTGGGAAGAATATCTTTTGTATTTGAAACTATTTGTTCTGCAGACTGTGTGCTATATTTCATGCTGGTAAGTGATAAATGCTGGTAAGATTTATTCTAAGCAAATTTAGATAGTTTAGTTTGGCAATTAATTTTACAAACATGTCAAATCCCCGGTGTTAACTAACTATAATTTGTGTAGACATCAATATTTATTTAATCATACATTCAATGTACTGCTGCTCCTTGCATACACATACCAAGGTAAAATTGCTCCAGACACAGCAGCTCAGAGAGTTTTTGTTTCCTCAATTCTCTTTGAATGGCATATGAGATATGAAAGCAAGCACAAATTGCATCCTCACTTTAAAGATTTCAAACTTTTATGTTCTTGATGAAACCTGATATTTTTTAACACAGCTTTTCACGCCATATGCATACTTTAATGTCTGAATGATCCAATACACAGTAATGCTGAACATTATGTTAAAGGGCACTTCCTTAATCTGTGCAAAAATATGTTATCACAATTCACACTTTTTTCCCCCCCAGATTTTTATGTGTGTGATTTTGAATGCAGCATTCCTCTCAATCTTTCAGTTTTGGAGCATTACCTCTGTTATCCTGTTCCTTTGTGGAGCTTCATTCAATTACCTGTGATTATAACATTTTCAGAGATTCAACACTCTCTTGTGAATTAAAGTGCTTTAATATTTAATGAGAGAATGGATCATATTTCATGAATGAAAGTACCTCTGTAGACGATTGTGTTACATGCTCGATGTATCTGTAGTTAATAGGTAACAATGGTAGAGTTGAACAACGTAAAATGCAAATAAAATCTGAGAACTATTTAGTTAAATTTTTAGTAACCCCTCAGTGTCTATTGACCACTTATCAAGGCAATAGCTAAAATATGTAATCGTCTGCATAATCTGTCAGTGTTAATCTTAAGTGAGGAATGTGTAGATAGGCAATTAGTGGAACTGAAATCCCTTGTAACAGTTGTTTTTACCTGTTCTCAATGGCTGAACATGTCTAATGTCAGTGATCTTTATATGCATTTAGGATGTAAACAGAAAGACTACAAGTGTAGCAGAATCGTGGGGAGGAAGTCGAGATAAACAATCCTATACACATATCATTTCCAAAAATGCCACCTACATGTTCACATGGGCTTTCCAGAGGACAAATCAAAATATTGAAGTAAGTATTTTAAAAAAAGAAAATCATGACAACAAAACATATAGAAATATTTCCTGAGTTGTATTGTTTACATTCAGTGGATTCACTAGAAGGAGGCAGTGGGATGGGTGCTCCATTTGTGCTTTGTATTTTGGACGATTCCGTGCCACCTTACATCAATAGACCCTGTAGGTGAGTTTTGGGACCCTATGTATAACCATGACTAGTGTAGCATGAGATTTCAGTTTTGCAGCTGTAGTTTGTTTGTTAGTGTACCTGTTATGGTACACACATGTTAGCTTTACATTAAAGAGCATTTTTATTTTATTTTAAAGCTCTTTAGAATGTTGACCTCTCCTCCACCAGTCAATCAGCTCTCAGCATAGACCTCTCTGTGTTGGTGTAATACAGGTCTATGGTAGAGGTTTAATACTGTTATACCAATAGTCACTATAGCTGATTTCTTGCTTTATATTAAAAGTCAAGTAATACCTAAATATAATGTTATTTTGAAGGTACATCGGTTCTCCAGGTGGTCCTCATGCCCTCTATCACAGATACAGAATATAGGAAGGGAGTGATTGATATGGCAGTGAGGCCCACATGTCAGCATTACAAGGGTTATTTGCCCTGCTAGGGCAAGTTTTTCCCAAGCATGGTGAATAGTTGTGCACAGGTGGAGTAAGCAAGGAGTACTGGAGGGTGCATGTTACAGTAGTGCAATATACGTATTATATGGAAATTGCAAAGCTGAATTGAGGTGAAGCATGTTAGTAAGTGAATAACAGCTTTCAAAACTCTTAAATATATCATTTATCTTATATAAAACATTTTATAGTTGATGCTTTGAGAGCCATTATACACTTAGTTGAACTTGGCATGCTAGGTTCACTTAAAAAATAAAATTGGGTTGACCGTTACCATTTGGCAATGAACCCATCATGTATTACGCATCATGGTGGTCCATATCTCTATCTTTAATCAAAATGCGTTCTCCTCTTTCCCTTTAATATATTTCATTTAATCCCAAAATATGTAGCATCAAACTATTCTATGTTCTATTTTAACAATAAATTGCAGAATATGTTTAGTTTTTTTTGAGGTTCAGAGAGGAAAGTGTCTACTTTTTACCTGCAACTCTGCTATAGCTTTCAAAACCATTTTTTGTCTTTTGTCTTGATTTCATCTTTGACTTTCCCACTGTGAGATAAACCTATAATGTGCTTCTTTCTCATTTCCATATGTATTTATCCCATTTTCTTTGCCATTCTTTTTACATCATTTACACCACCATATGAAAGTATAAAGCATGACGTTCAAAAATATTATCTATGTTCCAATGCTATAATACAAGTAAAACAAATCTCATTACTCCTAGAGAAAGGAGCTAGACATTTTAAAATACAGATCTGTGGTTTAAAATGTAATTTTAAGATCTAATTTGTTCAAGATTCTAGTGTCTGAAACACATTTCCTACCATCTATAATGAATGTCATCTGTTTTTCACCAAGATGAATAAGTAAAAAGATAAATCTGTAAACATTATCCTGCAATATTAAATAATTTTCAATGAGTTTATAATAAATGTCAAAGTTTGAGCTATTTTCAGTATTATACCATATGATCGCCTACTTCATATTTCAAGATAAAGAGATCTGCTTTATCTTAGTTCCTTCATCGCGCACATTTATAATAATAAACTTTTAATAAAATTGTCTAGATATATTGGAAACAACATTCCTCACATCTTAAAAAGATAAAAATATATACTATTAGTTTGGAATTTTGAAAGAACTATGAGAAATACTTACATTTTCTTTTCTTTTCCCTCTAGAGTCGCCGTTTTGTTAATGATATTGTAAGGATCTATTCTATTACTGTCACCAATGCTGTGGACGGGGTCTCCTCACATTGCCAAGCTTGCGCACTGGGCTCACAACAGCTTGGGTCATCATGTGTACCTTGCCCCCCAGGTCATTACATTGAAAAGGAAAGCAGCATGTGTAAAGAATGTCCTCCCAATACTTACCTGTCTGCCCACCAAGTATATGGGCAAGAGGCCTGTGTTCCATGTGGTCCTGGAAGTAGAAGCAATAAGGTAAACTATTCTGTTGCACTCTATTGAATCTGATCTCTATTTTGGTTATAAATGACTGTTATGTAAATGAAATAGAGTCAACTTCACTCGGTGAGCATTCTTTCAAAAGGCACAGTAAGGTTCTCCCAAACAATTAACTTGCTTCCAATGTTTAAGCTGTCCTCAATTTTCTCATAAATCGTGATCCAACTTCACTGCAGGCGGACCTGTTTGAGATATGAAACGGATAGCTTAGGCTTTTGAGAAAAACTATTTTATTGCCTCATTACTTGTCATTCATTGGTTTTATTGTTTACAATGGTAATTTTAGTGGATCCAAGGAAGGAGATAGGGTATATTAATAGGCTTTAGGTTTTGTCTTGTCAAAGTGTGTTTGGTCTATGAATGTATTCCTATTGTTGACAATATTTCCATTCCTTTTTTTAAGGATCATTCGGGCTGTTTCAGTGACTGCTCTCTGTCACATGAGAATGAAAATCGAACCTTTACTTACAATTTCCAAAATCTCACTGGGGTAGCGACCCTCCTTAATGGACCAAGCTTTACATCCAAAGGAACAAAGTACTTCCATGTTTTCAACATCAGTTTGTGTGGAAATGGGGTAATTATGAACACACATTTACTTTAGAAATCAATAAAGAAAAAAAAAGTTTAATAAAAAAGCTTGTTTTTAGCTGCATCCCTGTTTGGTGGATCAGCATGCAGCTGAGGCAATTGTTTCCTACACCAGAATGAGACTCTCCAAGTAGAAGCATCTCATTCTGGTTTCATTGGACAGATTTCGTCCGATAAGATTTTGCACAGCAGAGGATTATGGGATACATAATTTATCGAATAATTATATAGGCTGGTTTGAAGTATTTCAACATCCTAAGTTAAACTTTATGTTATACCATCTCTTATTTTTTCAAATGAATTTATTGAATTTTCTAAAAGAAATCACATGCTCAATTTTCCCCTTTCTAACAGCCATTTTATACACACTGGATCAGACTGTCCATAATGCCAGCAGATGCTCAATATATTGCAACTATTCTCTGATTTTCAAAATCACCTGACAGAAAATACAGCACACAATTTTGAAAAGCAAATGATGGTCGCAAAATAGTGAGCACCGACTGGGATAACTCACAGTCTGACTTGAGATGCATGAAGATGGCTGTCAGAAAGGGGAAGTAGAAAAGTGTAGGCAAGTGATTTGTTAAAAAAAAAACAAAAAAACAATACAATAGTATACTTGAATTAAAAAAATAATTAAAAGGTACCAGGGGCGAACTGACAATAAAAAATAAAAGAGCATTGTGGCTGGCCTGTGTGGAGGAGCCCGGAATCCAATGGCGTTACAGGGGCCTTGCGGGACTCTTCCCTGGCCCAGGTCCTCAGGCATTGCCGAATTGCCCGAATGGTAAATTCATCCCTGAGAGGTACAACATAACATGATTATATTAAGATAATATCAGATTTTAAAGACAGCTATTCTAAGGAAATAATTTGAAAATAATTATATTGGCTTTTGTGCAGTTGATTGTGGTTATGTGTGTTTGTCTGTGATTGTGACTGCAATTAGGGGTAAGATAATGTGATTTTTTTTTAAAGTAGGTTTTGGGTATATTAAATTTGGATTTAGTTTTCAATTTGCATCTTTTCCATTTCTTAGGGAGAAAAGATGGCAGTTTGCACTGACAATATTACTGATGTCACAGCAAAAGACATGGAAGCAGAATCAGAAGACTATTCCAATTTTGTAAAGACGTTTGTCTGCCAATCCACCATCATTCCATCAGACAGCAAGAGTTTCCGAACGGCACTGTCATCACAGTCAGTCAGCTTGGCTGATACATTTATGGGTAACTAATCACACTTTTGTTTTATTACATATGTAAGCTAGTTTTAGAATATGTGCAGGAATGTGTAAATAAAATTATTGAAAAATGATACATTAAAATTTAGTTTGAATGATTCCATTGAGTCATTAAAGAAACACTATAGCATTAGGAATACAAACCTATATTCTTAACACTGTAGTGTGCCCTGTCCCTAACTTAATAGGTCTCTTCCACCTCCGATCTTGAAAGGGCTAAAAATTATATTTTTCCTGACCTCTTTTCCGTGCAGAGGCACTTGGGTGCTGGCTAGGTCTCCTTCTCCCACATCACGGTGATGGGGGATGTAATGCACATCATGCAAGGCCACTGCCGCATGCGCATTAAAGTTTCCCTACAGGAAAGCATTAAATCAATGCCTTGCTATGGGTAATTTGCAGATTTTAGGTGTCCAAATCAAAGCTTGAGGACATCCAATGTCATTTGATGGTGTAAAACGCTGTACGTGACCCGGAAGCGCCTCAAGTGGCTGTCTTGAAGGAAACGTCAAGATTTAAAATTGAGGGATTAAGGAACAGAGTCACTGCTCCCAGGCCACTTAAAAGTGGTCTGGGTTATCATAGTAATCTTTTAAACCAGATATCAAAACACCACCCCCACCCACCCTTAACATACAATTTTTTTTAAATCAAAAAACACGTTTAAAAGTTTGTACCACTTGTTAGTCTAAAACTACAGAATACTAGCTAGCCTGCCGAGACATTGCAGTACCACTGTCAACTGCACTAAGAAGAGCTCCTGGCCTATTTAATAACCTTATGTGCGTAAGATTGATTTAGATGTTTTATGTGGTATAACTCCTTCATAACAAGGAGTTAAACAAGTCAAATTATGTAATTACAAATTGAGCATGTCTTTTGCCCTGAAAGGGTGTGGCTGTGATGCTTCTGCAACAAGTTTAAAAAAAAAAAAAAAAAATCTTGATCTGTGATAATTTACACTCTGCTCATTAGCAGTAATTATATCTGTATCCATTAGGGCAACACAGCTGGTTTGGTCAGCAAACAATACATTGAAAGTAAAAGTATATCCTTTCTCTCTTAAAATAAAACATGTATAATATTAATAGCACTATACAGACATGTAGTGTATATATATAGATATTTGACTTGTGCAGAAATTCCTTTTGGGCTGGTTGATCTGAATAAAATACCTGGTTGAATGATTTGATTCTGAATTGTTTTACCGGTGCTTTAAGCTGTATAAGTAAAATTGATTTGGAGATTTGGCATGGACTAATTCTGGTATCGATTAATAGGCATATTTCGGACAAATAACCATTTTCTACACAAGTCAGGCATATATATATATATATATATGTGTGTGTGTTTGCTTATATGCTAATATTTTTTTTTTAATAGAAATGAAACCCTTTATAAGACTGTGACGTAATGAATTGAAATTCCTTTGAGCCTTAATAGGTTAAATCACGACAGCACTAAGACATTGAATGCTATCTTTCATAGCCTGTAAAACATTCACACTTAGCTTTGTGCCTAATAGGAGTACTTCTGGCATTTCTTTTGCCCCCATTCTACCATGTCACTGTGTACCACTTGTGATTGCTTCATGCTGATAAGAGGCACGTAATGTCCGTGCTGTGAAAGTAAGAGCAGAACAAATCCATCTGCCCAATCTAGAATCTGAAATCTCCTTTTCTTCTGTAATGAATTCTGTTATCAACACAATTTACCAAGTGAACAGTTGTGACTATCCTATATCTGTGGTGAATAATGACCATCATCTACAGCAGATAATACACACGGAGACGATTATTGAGAATAAATTTGGATTCCTTTATGCAATGTTTCACAGACTGTAGTTATCTGATAGAACAATCAAACGCTATGCTGTTTGTTTTTTTAATGTTTTATTTTCAAACATAAGTTCATATTTTATGTCACTGTAGGGTCTACAATCAACACATCTCTTGATGGAATCAGTATTAAAGCAGATATGTTTCCAGCTCCAAAAAAGTTACCTGATGTACATTTCTTTTACAAGTAAGTTTTAAGGGATTTTAATAAGGGGGGTTGGCCCACTTCTGGTGAGATGCCTTATGCACAAATAAATTCTGTATTATGTCTAGCTATACGGCAGTGGAGGAAATGCACTGCATGTTTCATTACATGATTCTTAAAACAAACCATGAAGAGTTAAACAACATAATTTAACAGTTTCTGACAAATCTTGTCATTTTTAGTATTATTTGTCTCACAGCATCAACATTTCAACCCGGTGACAGAGTCTATATCAAACCGAACATAGTGCAAAAAATAGCAGTGGTAATCAATTGTGCTAAGGAAGTCATGTGACTTCAAGAAAGCCATTCCTGGTCAATACTTAAAGCAACAGTGCATATGTTTTCTAGAGTGCACATATTTCACTTTTTGCAACACTTTTACTCCTTATAGGTAACACACACAGTAGAGTAGATCTCAGATAATTTGTTAGATACCTAACATACCTCAAATGGGGATTTTTACCTGACATCATCAATGGGCTTATAATACAATAGAAAACACCCTTAACAGTCACAGGTGGAAAGACATAAAGTAAGGAGGTGAAACACAACACACTTCACCTATACAAATTAATACCTCACTCTGTAGAATCAGAACAAAAAGGACTCCTTCCAGTCCTCTCAAAACATATATAGGATATAGGTTCTTCAGTAGGAAGAAAAAAACAAACATCATAGTGTACTATCTTGGATAAATATTAATAGTGGTGTTCAAAGTTACACTTACAACAAAAAGGTTGATTGAAGGCACATCAATAGTTAAGTTGCCCTTATACGTGGGGAAGATCGCTAGTTAACTTAACTATTGATGTGCCTTCAATCAACCTTTTTGTTGTGAGTGTAACTTTGAACACCACTATTAATATTTATCCAAGATAGTACAATATGATGTTTGTTTTTTTCTTCCTACTGTAGAACCTATATCCTATATATCATCAGTAGGCTGTACTTTTGGTATCTACTTTGCTCATTTAAGAGTGAAAATAGTCTCCTGCTTTTATTTTTTTTGTGTGTGCAAATTATCTTTTGGCTTTGCAGAATCTGTACATTTATATGGTCTGGCAAGCCAGATAGCACAAATATAGGACCATTTAAAGTTGTATGCTACTAGCTAGGCCTAAAAGTTACTTGACACAGTAAAGCGTCTTGATAGCCAAGTGAGGCAGCCTTACATACCAAAAAAGGTATTTATCTCCAAAATTAAATATTGGATTAGACAGGTTCCAGTAAGATGAAATAAATGGTTTTGCTACTTGGAATATCCCACAGTATTGCTAGGAGACCAGAAATAACATTATTAACATTTTTGTGATTACACTTATCTGTGTCCCTGCATATCTATATGTACGAGGACGATATAGGATGCTATCCTCAGCTGCAGTTTATAAGCTGTCGAACCACACTGTTGTTTCTCAGAGATAGTGGGATTCTGTGACACACTCGCTAAGGCTGAATTTCTACTCACTGGGGTTGAAGTTCTACTCTCCAATGACTTGTGAGTGAGTGAACATTTTGGTCCCAGATGATGTGTTTAAAAATGTCCTGCAGTTGTGAGTTTTGCAAAACTGGCTGATAAGTTTCATTAAGGTGTCTCTATCGCCCCAAACTTACCTTTCTCCTACTAATTCCTCTTCTCTTTCAAAACTTTTACTTTTGTCTTAATTTCTGATCTGTTTCTCTTTAAAACATAAGACAAAGTAGGGGCTATTATGTATAATGCATTTTTTTGACACCTGACAATCTTGACAAAGGGTGGAGCTTAAGGCAAGCTTCACTTTGACAAAGGGGAAACCTAAAAAATTGTGCTAATAAAAAAAAAAATTAATAAGAAAAAAAGCTGCTACCACTATGTGTGGATGCTCCCCAAACCCAATACTCCAAACTCTAGTGGACAGTGAAAATATATATAGGTAAGTAGTGAAAACCAAAACCACACAAAACTACAGTGGAGTGCTAAGTGACAAAGGTGAGTAGCACTTTAAGCTCCATCCTTTGTCAAGATGGTGAAGAATCGGAAAAATACATAAGGCAAAGTAATCCCTACTTATGTTTTAAAGATAAATAGATCCAATATAAAGAACAGATCTGAAAGAGGATGAGAAGAGGAAACAATAGTTTGACGGGACAAAGCCACTTTAAAAGACAAAGCAGTTGAGACACACTTCATTGCCATTTGGTTAATCCATCCTATCACTTATAATTTGCTGCAGTGGTTATACTGTGTCATACTCAGTTGTATTATGACAAAAAAGACAGCCAACATGTTGTTTTTTTTAATTCTTGGATATATGTATAGTAATTGTAAGAAGTCATTGTGGATTGTGCCTTTCAGTTATTTACATTTTGTTTCTTCTTCAGATCTACTTCAATTACTTCATCATGCGAAAAAGGACGTGCAACTGTCATATCCTTAAGATGCAACCCTGCAAAGACTGGCCAAGGGGATATCTTGGTGCCCAGGTAATCCACTGTAACCTCACAATATAATTTTTTGTGGAAAAGCCTACATGGTGCATGTGACTCATAAATCAAAAAAAGTGTCAGAAAAAAATAAATAAAGAGAAACAATCCCCACAAAATAAATTAATAAAATAAGATGCTTTATTTTGATTTTTAAAATATTTAGATTTTTTCTGTTTAGTATACGAAATATATTTAATACGTTTTCTGTCTTCCAAGTATTTCTCCCATTTCCAACAATAGCCAATGGCTAAAACCCTAACTACTTAATATATCATAGAGATCATGGAGCACATTAGAACCATGAAGCTGCAATGAAATACAATATAACAAATGTTTTTTTTATTTTATTTTAAATTAACTACATTAAGACTGTAAAATAAGTCAGTTCACCATATCTTCTAAGATTTTGTCTCCCAACAAACATTAGATTTCTTTAAAACTCTAAATCCATGTTGTAACTATTTTACAGATATACATTCACATGTTCTCTTGTACATTTTGAAATAAGATAACATTGCATTTTTATACTCCTCAATTGCTAGGAAACATCTGTTACACACTTTTTCCACATATTTCCTGAATTTGAAATATTTTAAGCATGCATTGCGTTGTGGAAAGTTCTTATTGACAGTTTGAGAATTGAAATATTTATCTGTTTGATGATTTCCTGAGAACTTTGTGCGGTGCATGTTCACATAGTTTGTGGCCTGGTAGAATTAGAAAAACTATTAAAGAGCTTAATGGTAGAGTATTAGGGGAAAAAGTTATAATGGGTGGAGCAGCACATGTTAGCGAACACTGAATTAGGATGTCAAAGGATATGTCAAAATCTGTCCCGTAATTTGCATTTGTCACATGAGCATGAAACCATTTATTGTTTTTATACCATATATCTTTAAAATAATCTCTTAAATAATTACAGCTATCGTTATTTACAGATTATAAAAATATCTATGTATGTATTGATTTTATCTTGCCAGTCAGTGCCCTGCAGGTACGTGTGATGGCTGCACATTCTATTTTCTTTGGGAGACGGCCGAGGCTTGTCCTCTTTGCACAGAAAATGACTATCAGAAAATAGAAGGGGCTTGTAAAGAAGGACAGCAGGTAAATTAATAGCTTGATGTATACATGATATCCATATATTTATTTTAGAATAATTAAACCAAAATTTCACATGAACGATGGATGTGTACTTATACATATGATGCATACTTGTCAGGCAGTATTGAAATACATTGCTTACGGTTAGTTTCTCCTTGCTATGAATTATGAAAATTTAGATGATATTAAACTTACCAATTTTAGTTGGAGAACAAAACATAGGTTGAAATAGTTTTGAAGGGACATGTCGTCCTGGTCACTAGTAGTTCAGGGAATCTGAAGGCATATTGCATAGTTGCATACTTCCAAATGTTTAGAGGTAGGCAAGAGGTACAAGAAGGAGGCAGTATAGTAGGGGGCATATCAGTGATGCAATTTGCATTATTGGTAATGTGATGTGGGACAGTTCCTCCCAAACATAATTCATAATGTGGATATACACCATCTTCACTCAGGTTTTGCCAAGTGCAGAGCCTTTCTGAAGCACTCTTGTATGGTCAGAAAAGGACTGAGTGCATTTTGCATACTGTGAGTATTTCCTACGGTTGCCCGGAGGTGGTACACAGAGGACTAGATTGGGATGGCGGGACATTTTCAGCATATGTGGGGCAAATGGGGAAGGGGTATATAGTGCAGACTGGCACAAAAGTACTGAAAATATCTTGACCTTCCTTAATAACTCCAAAATATTTTCTTGAAGTGCTATATTAAACACCATATTTATTAAGATATATATAACATATGTTAGTATATATTATATCAAATAATTATATATATAATATGTGTATATATATATATATATGTATATATATGTATATATATGTATATATACATATACATATACACACACAAAAAAAGTCCAGTAACCTGCACTCCAGAATGTTGTAAAGAAATTTAAGCCCGGTCCTGGTCTGCAAAATTATCCAAACTGCATAATATAGAAGATAGCACTCCAAGAACTTCAAAATAAGGTAAAGTAAAACTTAACTTTTATTCAGCAGATGCTGTGCAAACAAAAAAAAATCAATGTTTCAGTTCTTTGAGAACTGAAACCTCGCTTTTTTGTTTGCACAGAATCTGCTGAATAAAAGTTACGTTTTACTTTACCTTATTTTTTTTTTTTATTTAGCCAACAAAAAAACATTATTGCATTGGCTTTTATACTATATTATAACTATTGTTATTTGGCGCACATACTTGGCTTGTAGTGATCTAACTGAAACTTACATTATTACACAGGAAACACATTATGTGTGGAACGAGCCCAAGTTATGCAATAAAGGAGTTCCTCTCCCGGACAAAAGAGCATCTACCTGCGAATCCATCGATTTCTGGCTCAAAGTTGGAGCAGGTGTGGGAGCATTCACAGCTGTTCTACTTATAGCACTAACCTGCTACTTCTGGAAGAAGAATCAGAAGTACGTGTCCACTATGACCACTTGTAGTATTGTAAAAAACCTGAGCATGCTGTCTTACTGTGTGGATTAGAATCATTACTTAACTGTGGGTGGTTTTATATGCACACTTCTAGGAGTATAGAAAGATATTTTTAAGGGAATGTTTTCCAAATAACAATCACCAAAAAACGCGTTTTTCAGTACACAATCATGCTCAAACACTAATAAGAGTTGCCTATGTATGCATGTTGCAAAAATATATATTGGTCAAAAACACAATGTACCTGCTAGTATAAAATCCTTTTAAATCCCTATCCCCCATTAAAGAACATTACTGAAAATCAATATATAAGAACCAGCTATTTAAAGTGAAATAAATGTCTTACTGCTACAGTTAGCCAGATGTAAACTGTTGTACAACAAATTATCCCTTCACACCACACCAGTGTATAACAAGGATAAAGCTACTTAGCTTGAAATTGTAGCTTCCCAAAGTCCCTTCCCTGTTGGTGAGCTCATACACATATGATACAATATAGAAATTGGGATACAGCTGAGTATCTAAGAAAAAAGAATAACAAATAATAGTGCAACACTGTTGATAATCAAAGAGTGGTGCCCCCACTAATTATGGAACTCACAGACTCCAAGTGTTTAAGGCGCCTTAAGGCTGCCTTCCCTCTATGGGAGGTCAGGATCCTCTGTATGTTGTTCGTGCGCCAGATAGCAATCAGGGACCAGGTCAGTAGGTATAAAGAATTTCTTAACTCCAAATATATTAAAAATAATTAAAATATAAAAGCAAATAATAAGTCACTGGTCCTACGTGTTTTGTTTCAACTGTTGACTGCTTTTTCTGTACAGGCTGGAGTACAAATATTCCAAGCTTATCATGACTGCTAATTCCAAGGAGTGTGAACTTCCTGCTCCAGATAGTTGTGCTATAATGGAAGGTGAAGATAATGAAGATGATGTTGTCTATACCAGTAAACAGTCATTACTGGGAAAGCTGAAGTCCCTGGCTACAAAGGTAAGATAACAATGATACAGTATTGGTATTATGTTGTGTCATATTATCATGTTAAGTTACCAGTTATTTAAGGTTTACTATAACCATTTTGAGAGGAAGGCCTTTCCGGCGCTGCTTTTCAACACCCCTTTCTGACACCTCTGGGGTTCGTGCAGTCCAATAACAGGCTTCTCTTAGAGAAGCCCGTGAGTGGACTTTTTCACCGGCTCTGAGCTCATGCGCTCATTCCGAGCTGGCGAGGGGAGGGTGGGGATTTTTAAACAAACAAAAAAAGATCAATGAGTACGGAGGGAGGTGAGAGTGAGCAATGCGCCCTGACAACAGATGTAATTTATGCACAGAGGTGACATTAGGAACTCTGGAACAAAGCTCCAGACTGCCTAAGTCACGTGTTCTGGGGGTGCCAAGCCCCAGCAGACAATTATAAATATCTCAGGATGTGCAGTGTATCAAGCAGAAACACTGCACATACTGAATCCTACCACCATGATCACTTCAAATCATGGAAGTGGTCATGGTGGTTAAAGGTTCCCTTTAAGTCAAGGAGACCAACGCTTACTGCACTGGCATATCATGCCTGGAAAATTATTATTGATAAAATATAGTCTAACTTTAGAAAGCTACATTAAATGTAAAGTTCTGTTTTAGGTGTGGTTATCAACTAGTATTGATGTGATCTTTTAGCACTCTCTGCAGGGTCCTAAAGCCTTAAACATAGCATACATAGTGTGCTTAGGACACGTAGAGTTTAAAGGTTTATTTAATAAAGTACCCACCCTCCTCTGTCTTCTTAAAGTCACTCTCCTATGATTGATAGTAGAGATGTATTAGCTGTTATAAAATGTGCTGTCCTATGATGTACAGTGTGCATCACTCAAAGCTGTCTCTTTAACCTGGTTATAGCTGTATATGTGCCTCTTGTGGCTGTCTTCTTGATAGTCACTAGAAGTGTGTTACCCCCGCAATGAAAACATTGTTTTTCCTGCAAATGGCAATGTTTTCAATTGCAGGGCTAGATAGACAGGTTTATAGCACCCTGATGAATTATTTGAGTTGAAGAGTCCTTTTAAAAACCCCTGAAAAGGCACATTATAAGTTCTGTAGACAGGTGCCTACTTTGCGTAGTGGGAAATAGGGCCCTGTTGAATGTTGATATATTAGGCCTGCAGAATATTTTTATGTTAATGTGTGAACCCCAATTGCATAATCTTTGAAGAATTGTTGTGAGTCTGCAGAGAAACAGGTACATGCCCAACCACATACAATATTCACAAAAATGTTTGTTAATTTCTACTGCTGAAATGTGGTATGACGTGTATAGTTTTACAAATATTTGAAGTGCCATAAACAGACAGCTAGAGTATGTGCTGAGTTTATTCTTTAATCTTGGGAGAGATTATTGCTAAACTTAAATACCTGAAATTGACATCTTTGTTTATGCCCTGGGCAAGCTTAGGCATTTCTGGCTATGCCCTTGTCAATGCAAGAGGCGTGAACAATATTTCAACAAAAGAATAGTGAGTGTTGTTAAATGCACAAATAATATAATATTAGTATTATACCTCATATTAGTCAGAGATAACATACATGGATATATATTTATTGGTGCTTGACCCAAAGTTGGCACTAAAAATACTGTACTTAATCAGTGAAAGACGTATTAAAGGTATAGCACAAACAAACAAGAAGGACAATTCAGAGCTGAGACTTTACACTTGTAGATCCATTATATTCGGCATTGCTTACATTTCAGATTTTTATTTTTACAGGAAAAAGGACACAATTTTGAGTCTGTTCAGCTGAAATCCTCCCGACCACAACATATATGAACTCCAGACATGCCTCTTAGACACGGAATAATGTTTTTTTTTCTCTAGGAAAAACCTAAAACAAAAACTAAACCTATATATTGAAACAAGAAAACTTTTTTGTGGTACCTGGAATGATCGATGAGGCATCAAATTGAGAAATGAAATGCGTGGCTGCCTTATTGTGTGATTTTTGCCAAAAATTTAATATTCATTTGGATTTCACATTTAACTCAGGAAGAGAAAATTCATGCAGAAATATTTATTCCAATGTGCACTGCTTGTGCATGCTCATATCTTGCATCTTTTATATATGCGACACATCAAGCACATATGCCAATCTAACATTAGGTAGTCCTTTAAAGGAAACCTTGTACATGCTCCACTATTTATGAACGTGTTTAACAAATTGGAAATGTACAATACATCCCGGTGTAGGTGGAAAAATGTTTAAGTGTTTAAGCAGAGGCAATCACACTCTTTAAAAAAAATTGTGGGTTATTTATAAAGACAATTGTTAGATTAGTTCCTAAAAGCAGACCAATCAACAGGAATATTGAATTGGATTTCTTGGGAATTGCTCTACTTGTAGAATTGCTTTTCATAAATAACCTGCAGTACAGCAAGCATTCTGTTCCAACAATAATCAATACAAATATCTTACAACAGAAATATATATCAGAATTATGAAGGCTGGACTGGGATATTTTGGTGCAGATGGATGGGAGTTGTGAGTACTAAATTATAGTTAGTGGTTGAGGGTAGAAAATGAGGCAGTGGGTTTGGGGATAAAGGATAAAGACTTTATGGTTAAAATTAGTCACCATTAATAATGCTCATCAATCACAGCCATACCTTACTGGAGGTATTAAATACCTTAGAATACAATCGTTCACTGCAATTTTAAAGAAATTGTATATTGAATTTCTTTTTACTATATGACTATAATGTTGTGCCTTAATGTTATTTTTTTTAATTGCCAAGATGAGAACTTTGTGACCAAGTTTTCTAGATGTGGAAACTAAGAGGCTGATTCACTAAGGAGTAAATTGTGGTTTAAGAACCAGGTTTGCACAATTAAGGCCAAAATAAATCTAACACCTCCAATTCTCATATTTGCAACCGGACTGTTTGCCGTGAATTTAGTAAGTTTGGCTACCAGTTGACTGCAATTTGCTGTTTATTCAGTAATACCATATGTATGCTTTATTGGCAGCAGAGTGGAATTTAGATTTATTTACATACTGAGCTCGTATTGGAGTGGCCAAACTTACTTTATACAAGATACTGTACAATAGCCGACACAAATAAAAATTCAGGAACTGGAACGGAGAAAGCAATGAAAAATCATTTGAAAAAAATGTTAAGGCATCATACCAATTTTCTGACCACTGTAATAAAAAAGTGTAATTTTTGTCTTCTAAAATGTATACATGGGGTAGACTTTACTCATTCATTAACTTTTTAAAATAAACGTTTGCCTCTGCCACAGCTATTTAGTCCTTTTGTGAAGAGCATTTGGGCCTCTCCGCAAAAATAACTGCTTTAAATTTTAGTCATATTTTTCATTAAATTCTGTTTGTGTACTCCATTTTGATGCTTGGAGCCCGTGTTTTTTTTTTTTTATCTGCTTCATGAATCAGAAACCTGATTAAGGAGACCTGAAGTATAAATGCTAAATTTGTCATCATTTCTTATGGCATAGAAAATTAGAATGCAAGCTGTTTGGTCAGCATACAGATATCTTGCCTTAAAACTACTAGTTAAACATAACATTCCTTGGGCAAGATAGTGGAGTTTGCCTTAGGCTCCACCCTTTATCAAGATTGTCGAGTGTAGGAAAAACACATAAGAGAAAATAGTTCCTACTTTATCTTATGTTTTATATAGAAATAGATTGGAAAAGAAGAACAGATTCTGAAAGAGGAAGAGAAGAGGAAACGATAGGAGAAAGGCAAGTTTGAGGTGACATAGACACTATAAAGCCTAATTTCTTGTGGTGGGAAATTCCCCTCTTATTAATATGTGTAATCAAATTGTAAAAAAACTACTTTTTTTTAATATACATATACATTTAATGGGATGATAGATGAATGGGATGATTTTTTTCATTGTTTGATAAAACTAAGTTACCCAAATATTTTTTTATCACATTTTAAAAATTAAATGTTCTTATATTAATTTGCAAAATATATATTCTGCACAATATTAAACCTGCCCCCCACCCCTTTTTTTCCCTATTGCAACACAGCATGGTGCTAAAGCATATCATGGCATAAGCATTCTTCCGCAGTAACCCCCCCAAAAATCTAAATTTAAAGCCATACATGCTTAATCAATACTTTAACAGAGACCATCTTTTGATAATGCGGTTGTTTACAACAAATTAGTGTATAGCAATCAGCATCTTACTATTCATTCAAGAAATATTTGGATTTATTACCAAGAAAGGGCAGAAGTAGAATTTTATAATTTATGTACATGAAAAAAAAAGTGTTGCAATGGATGTACATTTTATTACTACATTTTAGACTTGTGTTTTTTAAATTGATTTCATTGGATTTCCTTGAATAGAGACTGCTATTTTAAAGACAGCAGAAGTTTTGAATAAGTTATTTATTGCCCTCCAAATGGTGACTCTGTTTATGTCTTTTTTTTTTAAAAATCAGTTCTGTTAAACAGTTATATGATGTATGCTGTTTTCACTCACAGTAAGGGTGTTGCAGTTAAAAGGTTTATTTTTGTGACGCTGATATACATATCACTGTGCATTTTTCCCAATACTTTACATTTATAGACCTGAAGAATACATTGACTAATGAGAACAATATTTAGTTATTGAATGGGATATAAAATATCATTAGACAAGTGTTTATGGATTTATTGATCTGTGTACATATTTGTGATTAATTATCTGTATAATACATACATACACACAGCAATCTCCATGCAAGGAAAATAATATTGAATGCATTCAGATTTTACGAAAACCTTCTAGAGAAGGTTTACAGATTTACCAAATTGTACATATTTTTTATTTTAGTCATTTTGTGTAAAGAGCATGTGTGTGCCATTGTCAACTTGACTTTCAGGAAATATTTTTTTTTTGCGTGGGACCGATTACTCTTAGAAAATTGCTTAATGGTATACATGTTTTATTTTGATTATATGTTATTTTGATACATCCTGAAACTGTGAATGGAGTTGGGCCTAGAAGGGCCAGGTATGACATCCATGGGATATCATTTTTCCATGTTAAAGCTGTAGGATGACAAGTATCACGATTACTTCGGTGAAACATCTGTGGAGCTACTATACGTCCACGAGATAACAGACTTCTTTGAAAATGAATGAAGGTTGTTTTAATATGGCTAGAAAATTATTTTTAATATGACCAGCTTACAGTCATTGTAGTCTTTAAATGGTTTTCTGTGTTTATGTCAAAAATACACTATTGTGCACTGAAACTGTCATTCATTTTATTGCCATTCATTTTATTTTTTGTTGCACATTGTTTACTCTGAACTGTTTTTAATACTATGTGTTTGTTAGCTGTTTAATTGTTGTTATTCTGTTAATTTTTTTTTCTCTTTGAAGAGGTTATATTTAACCCTTACAGGTATAAATATTTTCATTGTCCAATTTCTTAAAAGAAATATAATATATATTTGAAGTTCAAACTTTGCCCGTGTTTTTTTCTACATTTCAATTTTACATTTACTACATTTCAATTTTACAGTCAACGGTTTTACCACTAGTTTTCATGTGTTCAGCAAATGAAGCATTTCCAATGCATACAACTGGCCGGAAAGAAAAAATAAAATTGCTTTGATAATGGGTGTTCTTCTACATAATAGAAAATCTGCCACTTTTATTTTTATTTTCTTTGTATGTCCTGATAAGCACCAGTTATTAATAACAACAAATCACTATCCATGATAAAAGCACACAAAAAATATGAAACCAAAAAAGGCATTATAAATAAAATAAAAAAACAACATCTGAAACATAACAGATCTGAAACAATGTAGTCTAATAAAAAATGCAATTTAAAACCTATTTAACCCATTAAGGACACAACTTCTGGAATAACATGGAATCATGACGGATTATTTCCGTCATGTGTCCTTAAGGGGTTAATAAACAATATATCAGTAAAGTAAATGCAGAAAAAAGGCGACCATTTTTTAAAATTTAGATTTGGGGAGTAGGCTTTAGACTAAAAGCAGAGGAGAAAACTAAATTGGTTATAATAGAGGTTTCCAACATATTCTGCTGTACAGTGGCATACACACAATTCATGGGGCCCTAGTGCAAAACTGATTACCTACCTTTTAGGTGCAGGAGGGTGACTTTCCTGGGGTCCAGTGGCTCAGGTTGATGGGAGTTAGTTCCCACTCTGACTCACTCACTTCCCTCCCGCGTGGCTCCCGGTGGTTGCTGGGAGGAGTGACCGGGGCAGTCACTTCCTCCCTGCGTCTGACATCATCAGAGTGGGCCTGGTCGCGCGGTTACCGGGCCCACTCTGATGATATTAATTTCCATCTGGTGGCCCTAACAGCATGGGCCACCTGATGGACTCCTTCACGTGCGGCCCCGGCAATTATACCGCGCGGCCGGGGCCGCAAAACATGGCGGTGGGCACCCAGTCACACGGGTCCGCATTATGTTTGCTGATTTTGTGTTGCTTTTGAACAATTACTAGGTGTACATTGTTGTCAATGTCAAGATATGTTTTTGCAACAGCGGATACTGAGATGATTAGTCCTCATAAACGTTTCAATAAAGAGGGGTTGAAGATTCTGAAAAAAATAATATACTGAAAAGTTGGAAAGCCTGTGGAGCCCCTATGCTTGTGTGGGCACCCGGGCAACTGCCCAGCATGCCCATGCGTTAAGATGCCTTTGCTTTTTGGCATTCTCACAATGGTCCCAGCTTGTTCACATCCACAGGACAAGTGCCTGTCGCTTCCCAGTCGACCAGCAATTTGAGTGGTGAGTCCTAATTTGAATTGTATGTTGATGAGTGGAGATGTTTGCATACTTGGCTCAAAGCAACGTGAGAAAAATACAAGGTTCTTTTAGTTAAATTACTCAAAGCTCTCCTCTAGTCTTCAATCATTTAAGAAGTTCCTCAATACCCATGTCTCAGAGTAACTTTAATTTCACAAACCTGTCTATCGCTCTCTATTAAAGGGCCATACTCCACCCTGACCTTCCAATTCTGTTACTTTCTCACCCTGTCCGTTGGTTGCTATGCCCTCCACTCTGTCCTCCTACTGTGTTTTTATACTCCATCTCCTCTAAGCCTATTGTTTCTGCAACATATTGTAATTGTCTAATTAATTGTTACATTTTCTCCTTTATAATATTTTAAAGTGAATATGTTGGTGCTATTTAAATGCCAAAAATAATAATAATAATGAAAAAGCCACTTCATACTGCTGACAATCAACATAATATGGCTCACTTTTGCAGCCCTTTTGCAATTATAGTTTATAAATTATATTTTTAATACTGTAGATGGCAGACAGATAGCTGACAATGCTGCGGAACTTAAATTTTTTTTTATTTTTATAAATGAACAGGTGTTTGGTTTTATCCCAGGAGACCACGTGTTAAGACCTGCAGTGGTTATGGTGCTGCGGTCTTGGTTCCCTCTCCCAACAGCTGAGCATGAGTGATTATAGCTGCAGCAGGGAGTAGAGGAATAAAATAGATGAAATGCAGTTCCAAGGTGATTCTTCCCAGCAAGTAGAATATCCCCCAAACATGAGCCTAGACTTCATGAAGGGTGTAACAGGAATAATCTTTATTGAAAACACACAGGCTTTTATGAGAAATCCTCCTGCAAGAGGACCTCCCACAGCAAACAAAAGCAACAGCCAATCATCACACAGATTTACAGTATTACACGCCTCCTCTCTGCCTGGGAGATATTGAGATAAGTTAAGGAATAAACCAATTATCTTCAGGCAGAGAGCACACAATTTCACCAAAACTTAGAACACCCCTTTCCCCACAAGGTATCCCCACAAATTACATATCCCCTGATAGCCCCGATCTGGGGGATAAACATATCCAAATTTCACCCAGATCGGTTCAGAGGTTCTGAAAAGTGTGGAGGGTCCCTTTACCGACCACACACGCGGCTCCTGCCCAAACAGTTCCACGAATTCAGCGTGCACGGTCGGTCAATTAACAAAACTGTAAAAACGAACAAAAGTCCCGATTGGATTCCCCTCGCCTATAGTAGCGATTGCTCCCCTTGTCCGTTCGCACAGAACTACCGAAATGGGCTCCCCTGGCTGTTCGGGAAATATGAGAAGCCGGCGTTCGGTAGTTTCCAGCGGTAGTTCGCGAGGTCGAGTGCCCGATTTTAGTTCCAGACACTCGACGACCAAGTCCCGCTGGCTCTCCTCGTGCGAACAAGATGGCCGCCATTTTCTTTTCCACGTGGTGTTCGGTTGTACCAGGGAGCACTTAATAGCTTGTTCCTTGGTACTAAATGAGCCAGGAGGGTGGTCGGTGTTCGGTAGTTTCAAACTACCGAACCAATCCATTCACCTTGCAAGTAATAACATATAAAAATACCGAATCAAAAGGAGAAAATGTCAGGCAAAAGTCCATTTTCTTCACACCACGCATAGCAAGTTTAATAATAATGAGGACGCTCTTACTTTAAAATTTGTTCAGGCAGACATCTCTGGTGGCAAGGCCAGAATGGAAACAAAAGCAGCCCTGGAAAAAAATTATTCCAACCCTATTATTCATTGTGTACTTACCTGATTCCAGCACTGAGCTTCCTCAGTGCTGGGTTGGTGCTCCGCATCATCAGACGCTAATGGGCATGCAAGGCCCTCCCTATATGAAATAATTGCTGAAATGCTTTCCTATGGTGAAATAACTGATGCTGGATGTCTTAAACAAAAGGAATGGATGTCCTAACCAAAAGTCACCTAACCACCAGGAAGTTCCACTAGAAGCAGGCTTAACCCTGCAATGTGATTATTGCAGTTTATCAGAAACTGTAATAATTACAACTGCATCCAGACTACTTCAATGAGACAAAGTATTCTGGGTGCTTATAGTGTCCCTTTAACAACACATGCTCATTGACACACAGAGAGAAGATCAGTTCCACACACTCAAGCTCACTTGATAAGCACAAGCTCACTACAGACAAGCTCACTACAGACAAGCTCACTGGCACACACTCAAGCTCACTTGACAAATGCACAAGCTCATTACAGATAAGATCACCGACACGCACAGAAGCTCTCTGACCCACACAAGTTCACTACAGACAAGGTGACAGACACACAAAAGCTTACTACAGGCAAGCTCACTGACACACACACAAGCTTACTACAGACAAGCTCACTGACACACACACATGTTTACTACAGACTATGACTATACCTTACCTTTCTCACTCGGACCCGTGCGGGACGGCTTCCTCTCCCCGCACTTCCGGGAGGCGGCACAGTCCTTCTGACGCCGGCTGCATGCGTGCCGACGTCGGGTCAAATCTGCTGCACAAATTCAAATGTTATCATGCTCCCTGACATTTTGGGGGCTTGAATTTAAAGTTAAAGACACTACACTATAAAAGGGCGCCTTTTACACTTGGTCAGTGCCCTATTATGGTTCTTGTTAGTTCCCTCCAGTGCTCTTGAGATCCTATATTGTAATTTCTGGTATTTTGACTATTGTCTTTTCTTCCTGACTATTCTACTCTCTGGTATCCTGACTTCAGCTTGTTTATTCTGGTGTGTCTGATTTCCATACTCCCCTGACTCTCGGCTATTCTTTGACTATTCTTTGGCGTTTAACCAGGCCACTCTAAGGTCCGGTATACGTCTCTTTTTAGATTACATTATGCGTGTTGGGGTCACTATCGTGACATTACAATAGGGCCATGGACCCTGCAGGTGTTAATCTACATGGGCCGGTTCCTGACAACTGAGGAACTGGACCATCGTATGGACCAGTTTGCTATGGCTGTGCAAACATTGTTGGCCCGTACTGCCCATCTCAAACCTGATGAACAAACCTCTGTTCATAGACGTAACGACCCACCTATGGAAGAGGTCGCAGGGGGCTCTTCTAACCACCCTACATCTCCTCTTCATTATGGGGGTGACCCTAAGGGATGTCGTGGTTTCCTTAACCAAGTGAGCATTAATTTCGAGCTCCATCCTAGAGCATATCCGACAGACAGGTCGAAAATTGGATATATGATAACGCTCTTGGTTGATAGGGCATAAGTTTGCGCTAACCCCTTATGGGAAAACGACAATCCCATAGTATGTAATTATGCGGAATATGTCGCTGCCTTCAGAAGAACTTTTGATCCCCCGGGGAGACGGACTAATGCCGCTAAGATGGAACGAGCAGGCATTCATTGATGTTTTCTTGAATGGTCTCTCAGATAAACTATTAGACGAAGTAGCTACCAGAGATCTACCCAATGTTTTAGAAGAGTTGATTACATATTTAGCTCATATCGATGAATGTCTCAGGCATAGACAAAACACCAGAGAAAGACCTAGGCGTGTTCCTGAACATTTAGCTTTTAGCTTTAACCTTCCCTTCTTCGGAAGCAACCGCTGTCGCTCTCCCTGAACCTATGCAATTGGGAGCCACACGGTTGTCTGAGGCTGAGAAACAATACCGAA